AATTGGTGCCAATTCAGTCTTAAACCTTTTGTTTTTGTGTCAATTTAGTCCTTCCGGTCAATTTTGATCGGAATTTGCCGACGTGGACGCCTGCCGGCTGGCGGCCGGTCACCGGCGCCGACGTGGATAACTTTAATAATATTTCAATATTTTTTTGAATTTTTATTTTTTTTTCCTTTTTTTTCTTTTTTTTCCACTTTATTTTTTTTGGTCCCCCCCCCCCCCCCCTCCTTCCTCTGGCCGGTCGCCGGTCCGGCGACCGGCTAGAGGCCAAAGCCCGGCGAGCTCGACCTCGCCGGCCACTGGCGAGGGCGGCGGCCTCGCCGCGGCCTCCGGCAAGGGCTCGAGCCTCGCCATGGTCGGGTGAGGCCCGACCTCGCCGGATCTGGCGAGGTCGCTGGGTGAGGTTCGACCTCGCCAGATCATGCGAGGTTGGGCCTTGCCCGACCATGGCGAGGCTTGCCCTCGCTGCGGCCTCCGACGAGGGCTCGAGCCTCACCCGACCAAGGCGAGGCTAGCCCTCGCCGGGCGAGGCCGCCGCCCTCGACAGTGGCCGGCGAGGTCGAGCTCGCCGGCCTGGCGACCGGCCAGAGGAAGGAGAGGGGGACCAAAAAAAAAAAGTGGAAAAAAAAAGAAAAAAAAGGAAAAAAATAAAAATTCAAAAAAATATTAAAATATTATTAAATTTGTCCACGTCGGCGCCGGTGACCGGCAGGCGTCCACGTCGGCAAATTCCGGTCAAAATTGACCGGAATGACTAAATTGGCACAAAAACAAAAAGGTTTAGGACTGAATTGGTACCAATTTAAAAGGTTTAGGACTTAATTGGCACCAAAAAAAAAGTTTAGGACTAAATTGGCACAAATGCAAAAGGTTTAAGACTGAATTGGCACCAAAGAAAGGTTTAGGACTAAATTGGCACTAATGCAAAAAGTTTATGACTTTTTTGGCACTTTTCCCGAGATATCTACATAGGTTGATACAAAGCCCAATCTTGAGATAAAAGGTGCCACGGTGGAATGAAGAACTGTTGAAATTTTCTTGATCAGTGAGTGGCTATGTCGCTCCGCAATTTGATTGAGCAAATTGATTATCTACTCTAGGACCCAGTTTTCTCCACATAGGATATTTTGGTTGGCTTTGAGAAACATGTCAACTTATATCGTTGGAACCAGTGACCGGAGACGTAATAGGAAAAGTTCTGCTAAGTTAAAAGAGTGATAAGATATGAGTCTTGATTGCACTCCTAACGAGTTCACGCGAGTTATAAAACTAACAGGAGGCACGATAACAGGTAGAGGTGATTCATGGGCAGGCTTGGGCCGTAAGGTCGAGCCTAATTTTTTGCTCAACCCCACCTGTAACGAGGTAATTATGCACAAAATTTTTGGGGCTCGGGTTGGGCATGAGCTTATAACTAAATAGCTTTGTCCAAGCCCACTCAAAAGTGCATTTTCGCGCCCTTGTGCCTTGGACGAGGCAGTTGGAGAGTGTTCCAAATTATATATGTTTAATAAGAATTAACTCATAACAAGTATCTTTTGGTGTAAGTACAAAGTTTAGCATTTGAACTCTAGTAGTGTGGATACTCGGGTTTAAATGCAAGGACATTATTAAAATGGGTGACGTCATTGCTCATATGTACATCAAAGGATAGAGTCATGCCGCCCAATTCCAAAATGAATAATACCCCCAATAAGTCAAGACCAGAGATCATGGAAGCACCCATCAAGAATTGCAGAGAGCAAACACAGTGTTTGCCTTCTAAAGTTTCAATGGGATAATTTAACATGTAATCACATAAAGAAATGCTTTACTCACGTCATAAAAGACTCCCAATGTCCCCACATGCGTGATTTCAGCGGCAAAGCCAGACGAAAAAAAATGTTTGTGTTCTCTACAAAATTTATGTACGTCCCAAGTACAAATCTGTACGTTTTCATACTCATTAAAATTTTCTTTGGTTGAATTTAAAAAGAGTTCATGAGTGCCATTGCTGGTTAAAAAGATGATTAAATACAATCACTATCTAACACTAGGTTTTAGAGAATGGGAGGAATATGGTGTTCTCTTGTTTGCTGCTTCGTGGTCTTGATATTTTTTTGGGTCGATTGGCCCAAAGTTGTTCCTTGTACTAGGATTTTGTTCTTCTTAAGCCCGCAATCACAGGCCATTTATAGGGATATCTTATCAGGAACCTAGTCCATATTCGCCATTCACTTTGTGAGATTCGCATTGGGGTGAACCGAATTAAGTTACTTGCAAGCAGCTCAGCTCGGCTCGATATCGACCATTACTCGAGGTCGACTCATTTGATTTCGAGTCGAGCTCGTGCTACTACAGTACTTTGTCGAGCTTGCAAACTCACAACTCAATAGGCTCACGAGCTTAATCGAGTTTTTATTAATATTTTTAAAGATATTACTAGTTAACAAATAAACGTAAGTATCCTTAAAATTACATAACATATCAATATTTTTTGAACTTTTTTTAGGTCGAGCTTGAGCTTGAGCTTATTTATAAATTAATAGTCGAGCTTGAATGTATATCTTGATTTTCTGGTCATGCTAAGTTGTGCCGAGTTTGAGTATCTCGATTTTCTAGTCGAGTTAAGTTCGAGTGGAAATTTTGACATACAATCGAGCTTGAGGTCGAGTTTCAAGCATCAGATATACAAGTCGAGTTGAGCTCGAGCATGGCACTCGGTTCTCGGCTCAACTCAACTCAATTGCACCCCTAATTTCACGAAATGGTCCGGTCCGGTTTGGGCGATTCCAGGTTCGGTCCAATTCTTCTGCTCACCCCTACTTATCATATCATCAATCAAGCTGCTTCTAATGCAAAATCCATCCATTTGAACAAGATCATAAAAGAAAAATTAAGCACGGTACGTCTAAGATATATAAATTTACAGAAACCAAGTAAACTTCAACGTCGACAAATACATCTCATCTTCTTATAATCAAAAGAAGTAAAGAGTAATGAACTTTTCTTCGTGGTTATATGTGTTAATCGATAACAAAATTCTAAAATGATCGCATGTTTAGAGTATGCTAGATGTTCACTTTCTTACTTTTTTGAGTTCTTAATTTTTATGGACCTATATTCACCAAATCTTATGTTTTGGCCAAAGAACAAGATCAACTATATTTTAAAAGTTGCAGTTAAATCTCTTATAAATTACTTATTATTTAACTATTATCACTTAGATTTGTTTCTTTAATATAATAGGAACATAGATCTTATCGTACTAAATGTTATTATATTGATTGAACAATATCTATCGTGCATTTTAAAGTTGCACTTAAATTTCTTAGAATTTTGTTGCTAGACTATTATCATTTGAGATTTGTTTCTTTGCATAAACTGAAAGATAAGGCTATTGGTTGCCTATCTTTACAAAATCAAACGGTGTTCTCAACAACATCGATATAATTTCTATCTAACGGTGCCGTTATGCTATCGCCACCCTCTATAAAATTCTTATAGGGGGTTAATTAGCTTGATCAACGTTATTATATAAAGGAGAACTAGGGATGTACCTTGGTGCCATAAAATTTCATTGTAATGATTGGTTGAAAGATCCTAGCCTAAACAGGGCATCATTTAGAGCATTGATGACTATCGACTTGATCGAGTCTGAAATATGGCTCACAATGTTGTTAGCCGTGTTCTTTGGTTGTTTCTTGAACATCCTCCATATAGTTGCCACAATGTTGGAATCTAGTGCAACTTCCCTCAATGATATTTCACGAAAGTGCCTTGGAAGATCGACATCTCCCTATCGGTTACCCTCTGCTACTCTTCCGGCAGTTGAGTATTCCGAATGCACGACATTCTCACATAACGGTTTGTGGTAATGGATTGCTATTGCCACCAATATTGTCAGACTCTTGCTGATTTCTCGTTCTTGCTATTATAGTCTTCTCAAATCAACAACGTGTTCAATTAGGTATGCCAAAAAGATGTCACCGAAAAGATGATGAAGTACCTTTTAGCATGTGGATAGATAGATGAGTACATCGATAAAGGGTGTGTAGGGTCCTTTGTTTATTTTAAACAGGAAAGTAAATGATAAGAAATTCAAAGTACGAATACTGGGAACAATAGTTGCCAGAGATGTAAATTACAAGAGTGAGGAAAAAATTAAATTTGCAAAAATACATTGAGTTCTGTAATCGATTGGGAGTCCTTTACAAATAGTATAATCCAAATTCGATGGTGACACAAACGGTCAGAACTTAAACCTACTAATATCTTTCTAATCCTATATGTGATTACAATTAGTTACACTATATCCATTATCTTGACAGTCACATCGATTTCACTACCTTGATGGTTACATCCAACTCTCTTTCCCATTGGCCGGATAGTCTTCCTCATTTATCAACTTTTGCTCCAGCACTTGACTATTTCTCATTGAAACCTCTATCGACTACACTGAGTATTCTTGTCGACCAAACTGTCCACTACAACATTTGGACATTTTTTTTTTTTAGTGTCAACGGGAGCAAACAACGTTTACATTGATGTTTACCCGCTAATCGTGTATTGTAAAATTTGGCAACAATCATCCACTGCACAGACTTGCACCAGAATTCAATATTTACAATTTTTCTGCAATATCATGTCTGAATTAAACACTAAATGCATATTACATCATCGGACCATATGCACCGCAAGAAAGAAAAAAGTTACAGAAGTCTGAAATCAATTCCTCAATCATCATTATCCTCCCCCAACTGCAAGGTCAAATAAATTCCCCCAAAAAAAATTAAGAACAAACCCCCACCTTTCATCCATCCCAACACAAATTCCACTACCCTCCAACATGACTCAAAATTCAAAAACTACAATTTAACCCCAAAAAAAATCAAAATGGATGATAAAATAATTAAGTTAATAAAATCACCGCATTACACAATCATCACCACCACCACACCCTACCAAATCAGATAAAGCAAGAGACAATATTTATACTTCCTCTTTTTTTTTCCTTCCCTTTTTTTTTTAATTTTACAACTCCAGAGAGCATCACCATTTTCTTTTTCATTTCCTTCTTCTTCTTCTTCTTCACTTCAATCACAGCTGCACGTGTTTGTCTCTGACCTCCAATCATGTCGTCTTTGATCGGTCCCCACAAGATGTAGACACATCACGTGAATCCACAGATCATCATCAGATCGAAAGGGAGAGCAAGAGAGAGGGAGAGAGAGAGAGAAGGCGAGCCCCATCAAGAGGCTTCCCACAACACACCACCCTCTTCCTCAAGTTGGCTTAACACATGGAATTTCTACATAAAAATCAATGAATACACCAGGAAAAAGCTGGCTGGCATGAACTCCAACTTTTCTTCCATAAATATAGATGTGGATATGGATACCCAATTAGATGGAAGGAAGTAATTTTATGTTAAAAAAGTTCAAGGAGACAAAAGAGTAGAACTTGGGAGGCTAATTTCTCTCTCTCTCTCTCTGTGTCCTTTTTTTTTGTTTGGGGGGAAATTAGACTGTCGAGGGAATAATGATAATAATGTTAAGGTACAAAGCTGGGACAGGAGTCAAAAAAGTCAAGCGCTGAGGAGCTGCTCCTTACTGTTCTCCAATGGAGGATTGTTGGGTTCAGAGGATGAAGGTGGAGGAGGAGGAGGAGGAGATGGTGCGGTTGCATTGTTGTTGTTGCTGTTAATGTTGTTGCCGTTATTGTTTTCCATTTTCTGCAGGCTTTGCTGGTGATAAACTTGCCTCAACCTCTCTATTTCCCTCTTCAATGCTTCTTGATGTGCTGCAAAAGAAAAAAAATAACAGTTATAATTCAAGAAAAATGAAAAAAAAATGTAAATTTAATTGGTGGTGGTGTTGGTGGTATGCAAAACAAGCAAAATGCTCGTACGTGGAGAGAACAAATGCATGCATGAGTACCTGTCCTATTAATTAGGTTTCCATTCCCACACGTAATTGAGGTGATATTGAAACTGATCATCATTAGGCTAAAAAGTCAAATGCCCGTCATTATCCCTCACATTAGATTCATATGTATACATTTGTAAATATCAGAATCGGTGTACAAAATCAATAAATTAAGCAATAGAAAGATTGCAAACAATCATTTAAACCAGATTAATATCATTTTAGAGCCCACACATATTTGCTTCAGAACTTAGAATATAATTGCAAAGTCGGTGATAAGTAAGTTTAATTTAAAAAAATGGAAAGGGGAATGATTCACTAACCATCTTTGAAGATCTTGTCTTGGGCCAATGCTGCGATTCTTTGCTTGAGAGCACTGTTATCCACGTTCAAGAGCAAGCGTTGATGGTCTAAGAAGGCAACCCTTGGGGACAGCACTGAAACTTCGGCCTTCAATGGCGACCATGCACGAAGAACAAATCAATGTCACGCGGTTGAAGCTAATTCTTGGCCATTCCATCATCTATGCGTAATATAATCACATATAGAACGACAATAGTTCTTCAGTTAAGTACGTACTTGCAACGAGTTGACGCTACGTTCGAGCTCTGATATGTATTGCAGCTTCCTCACCCTTGATCTTTGAGCAGATTGTCTGTTTGCTAAGATTCTAATTCCAACCCAAAACCCCAACCCAGAAAAGAAAAAGAAAGAGGAAAAAGAACCGTCACTCCAAAACCTATTTAATGAGTCAAACTCAACGCATTATTTTGCAATAGTAATCCCTACTCTACCTTCTTTTAATGAGAAAGAAGTACTTGCATGCATGTTCTGAGATATGATGGTGCTTCTGTTTGTTAGATGACATGTTTCATCGCAAAAAAAAAAGGCAACGGGAGAGAATTATTATCAATTATTGTCAGCTGCATTGTAATTATCCCTGGTCATTTAATCGGTTTGAGATGAATTTTGTTAGGAATAATGTTAAGATAATTATGATTACCTCTTGACCCTTTTGGGATCAACGATCCTCTCAGAAGAATTGGCCGGGTTTGAATTGGGTGGAGTGGTGGCCGGTGAGTCAGATTGGCAGGGGCTTTGCACTTCCTCAGGCTCATTCTTTGGCTGCTGCTGCTGCTTCTGATCCGCCTGCTTCTCCTCGTTGATGCTGTTGTGATCGGACGGTGATGAAGGGTTCGATGACGACCCTGTGTGGGGGACAACCACGGCCGATGGGGAGATCTCATCATTGAACATGGACATGAATTGCTCATCGTCGAACCGATCGAAGTCGTGGTGGTTGTGGCCGCTATTGGTGCCGGACCCCGGCGCGCTCGAGTTCCGGCAATGCTCGAGCAGCGGGGCCTCGAGGAAGGCGATGGAGTCGCTCGCGGACCTGCGGTGGGACCCGCGGCGTGCAGCTGAGAAGTCAAGGAACTCGTCAACCCAAGAAGGGTTGTTGTTCTGGGCAGCGGCAGCGGCGGCCGGATTGAGGACAGGGGGTGATTGATGAGACCCCATGAAGGGGAACTTCTGGTGGTGGAGAGAGAAGTCAGGCCAATTGGCGGTCATGTTTGGGATCTTAGGAGGCAATTGTGCCATTGTATAAATCAAAATGCCACAATGCCACCCACAATCCAGCAAATGCTAACGGCAAGACAACCCAACTGATCAAATTTGGTCGCAAATTCTCCAAAAATTTAAGGACCAAAACTGGGAAAACGAAAAGAGAAGCCACACACACCACACCAATCCCTAAGAAAGGTTACGTGGGTGGTGTGCTTGATGTTTTGTTTAGGATCAGGAAGGACACTGATTGAGGGGAACTGGAAAAAGGGAATGAAATTCAACTGACACAAAGAACCAAACCAAATGATGATCTCTAAGGGAGCTCCATATAAATACACTCAAAAGAGAGAGAATGTCGTTGCTGCAGAAGAAAAGCAAGGACACCAACAGGAAGAAAACATCATCATAGTCTTTCAAGGGGCTCTGGTTTCTTATTCTTATCAAATTCCCCCCCTTTTCGATCTGTGCTTGTTGATGATGATAAATCTCTCAGGAACAATCTCTCTCTCTCTCTCTCTCTCTCTCTCCATCTCCCTCCCCTTGTGGATGTGCAGTGGGGTCACATGGGGGGAGATTGGACAGCTATTGCACAGCTGGATGAGGGAGGTTGGGACTCAACGGTATTACTGGAAAGTCGCTCAGTAGTTTTTATTATCAGAACCCGAAGAGAAAGAGAGAGGGAATCTGCAACCCACGTGCCCTTGTGACCTCCTCTTTACTGGTGGTGGTGCCTTCTTCATCTGCATCATCTTCTTCTTATTATAGTCTCATTATTCTTGTTATTATTATCATCAGTATTGTTGTTTCACATATCCCACAATGGAAACATTCCTCTGCAATACCCTCCAGCCCACCCTATTCCCACCAATCTTCTGGATCCCCGATCTCTGGCCGTCCGATCCGATCGCCATGCACGATCTGATGTCTCGACAGGGGAAGAGCTCATGTGTGCGCGAGTGAGGTCCATCATTTCTGTGGCTAGTTTTATATATATATTACATTATGTGGGCGATGCATAGTGGTACTGTCCTTTGCTAGCTAGCAAGCTTCATAATTCCATGGAGCATGTGCAGCGAGCAAGAGAGAGCACAGAGTGGCAAAAGATATATCATGTGTCCCATTTTGACCCCTACCAGTGATTGTGCGGAGGCACAGACATTCAGTGCAAAAGAATTCATACGGCTTACGGATCGACCCGATTCGACAATCCGGGGCAGGAGTACCACGGCACGGTCACTGCTAAAGGCCGGAACAAAACGACTCAAACGAGCCGAACCCCTCATATATATAAACATCCGTGTATTGTATCTGCTTCATTCTGGCCACTTAGGTTGCTCTCTTGCATACCACATTGGGGAGACCCCAGACTGATGTACCCGACAACTCTTGCCTACATCAAACGTACATCAAAGTATAGCACAGGAAAAAGATTAATATATTAGGGATCCCACGTTATATTATAAGGTGGAGTAGTGGGATTTTGGGGCATGAGCTGTGTGTAACATTGTGGAGAGAGAGAGAGAGGGAGAGCAATGAGAGGATCATGTCAGACCATGTGAATTGTTTGCATGCACTAAGCTTTCTTTTTGCTTTGTCCCCAAACCATACTCACATGTAGGGCTATGTGTCCTCCTCTCTTTTTCCATCTCTCTCTCAAGCTCCTTCTCAGCACCTTCCCATCCCTTCCCATCCCCTCCCTCCTCATCTTGGGACTTTTGGACTTCACTCTTAATCAAATCGTTTCGTTAACCCTAATTAATTACAAATTTTTCTTTTTCTTTTCCTTTTCTTTTTTTGGGGGAGGCAATAATCATGGTTAGGGAGAGAGGGTGCAATAGTTTATTCGCCACCCCCCTTCCATCTCAAGAAAGTGACCAGCGAATGAAAGCATCATGATCACCCTCTCTCTTTCTTTAATCTTTTGTTTAGTGATGCAAGTGGATTCGGGCATGTGAGGGTATAACTTATTTCCCTTTTCTTTCATTTCTTTAATGCAATGTTAAACAATTATTTCTTCTTTTTTTGTTCTTTATTTGGAAAAAAACTCGAAGTGGATATTGAAAATTTTTTAAAGGTAGCGAGGATGATGAAGTAATCAAACCGTCTCGTGCCCAACACCCAACATTAGGAAAAGAAAGAATTAAAAAGGAAAAAGAATTATCCGCTACGCGCTTTTACCGAGATAGGATTATGAAATTGGTAAGAGTTTTTTATTTTTAAGATTTTACATAATAAAAAGATATTACCCGTATAATTTTTCACTGCATAAGCACTCATGCATGATTAAATTAAGAGAGGCGTTCGTTAATTGTGAACCAACCAGTTCATTGAGTAATCACTTGGTGATTAAAAGCCTTCCAATTCACTCCATTTAATCGCGTAGATTCTCATGAGCATATGATGTCTACGAGTACCAGTTGAAGGAACATGCTTACCATTAGCAAACTCATGAAATTATTATATGTTAAAGCTTTGATCACTCCTACAATACACTGTGATGTGGATATAAATAGGCATCTCAATGACAGCCCATGAAGAGATACCTGCCTCGTGGGATTATGAGATGACCCATCTGAATTGTGATTTTGCTAGAGTGAAAGGTTCTTGATATGAATATCACATGCAACACCTTTTTTATCGACTTGTTACTAGGGGTGATCGTTTCCGGGATACATTCTCTTGGGGCCAAGCTTTCGAATATTAGGGTCATAACAGGAATGTCTTCATTAATGACTAAACAACAAAGCCATCCTCACATTTGATCCATATCACCTCGCTGGATTGTTAGATGTAGAACTAAGTATTTTCCCGTGTGAGTTTCCTCACCTTGTAGTCCTGTCTTTTTAGAACTAACTAATTACGTTTCAATTTCACATCATGACCACCATGTCAGGGGGTGTTAATATAAAACATCTAAACATACAAAAACCTTCCCTGCACTCTTCTGTCATTGAACCAACAATCAGTATGCTGTTGTGTATTCCAGAACTTGTGTCCAATTTGAGTGACAGCCCAGGTGAGGTTTGGCAATTCAGTCATAAATTAGGACGCACAAATGCCACACCAGAAATCAACGTAGATATGGTCAAAGAACAAACCTGAAAATAAAACACAGCATTAGAGCTCAAATCAAAGTAGCAACTATTAAGTCAAATTGAAGGTGTTGTGGGACAGTACTTTTTCTTTTGACTCATGTTATGCAACAGTAGTAAAAGAAATATTACATGGATGTCATTAATGACCATGGAGCGAACTAAATCAACGAGTGCGTTTCCTTCTTTGTCTGTTGCGCCGACGACGTAGAACTTCGAGAATCAACAGACAACTAATAAGAAGCACCTGAACTACAATCACAATCTTCAATCCTGATAAACAACCCCTTACTCATCAGTTTCTGCTTCTCCATTATGCAAAAAAATTCTATGCACGCAAAGAAAATGGTGTACCTTTGAGGTTTTGGATCATTTCATCTAAGTTCATTCCATTCTTTGGTTCTTTATTGTCAATGCCCAAAATGGTTGTCTTTGCTGCATAGCTTTCAGCTTTATACTCGACATTTCCTCCCATGATGCACGTATTGGGACATTTGAGCCTTCCATCATACTCATCACTTCCATCACAGCAATCTATAATGGAATGACCCGGGAATGATGATCAGGGGGGAAAAGAGGACCAGAAAATGTTTAATTGTCATTCAGAATAGAGATATGGTAAAAACACACACTAAAAAGATCTCTCCCTATCTAACCCCTTTCCAGGAACTTCTGAGTCCTGATTATGTTATTAACTTCACAAGTGCTTGTAAAGCAAAATAAAATATTGAATAATTGTTTGTACATTCTCTCCCAACCATTCCGAAGGCCAATGAAAAACACACACAGCTTGTCACTATGATATTTTTCAGACAGTCACATCCAAACTGACAATGCTAAAGGTTCGATACAAATGCAAACAGGGCATAATCTCCTGGAAGTGAATGAGCTCCTCACAAATATTTTTTATACTGAAAGGAGCTTATCAAACCAGCTCTAAATAGTCTAGGATGGAAGGCAATGAGTAAAGTCCTTACCACAAAAATAATCATTGACACGAGAAGAGTATATGAACTTAGGTGTATTACCCACGTTTCTGCAATAAAATTTTGCTGCTGGACAAGCCGAAGTTCCTGAAAGCAGAAAGAACTGACAATGACTACAAAAATGTGAAGTAGCCTGCATACTGAACATGCTGAATTGATTCTTGTCGACATGCGAGTAATTAATTTCGATTTGTCCGTAAAGAGTAAAGCGAAAACACTTAAAAGCGGCCCACAGGCCAGTAACGAAACAGGTATAAACTTCCGAAAGAGTAATAGAGAGGATACACATACAACGTATAACCGAAAGGGAGATATGCAAGTCGACAGTTTCCATCACAGTTACGGAAACCAACTCTCAGCAGAAACAAGCCTGACCGGCCATAACAACTATTGAACTAAAATTACCGACCCATTTCCGTTATAAAGCAGCAGGAGTTATTTGAATCCTAGGAAATCTCCGAGGCTACTGTCAACTGCCGAGGGTAGTATGTACTGATTTTAACGCAAACCTTTCCCAATGGGCAATCAAAATTCAAGATATAGCTTAGGGTACTAGCTAAACACAGTATACAATCAGCTGGAACACAATCCTCACAACCCTGACACTGAACCTCAACACAAATACCGTCTTCAATTCGAATCGAAGCCTCACCTGGCTCGTCCGTTCCATCGATGCAGTCACAGAAATCGTCGTTCAGATAGTCTTTCGTGAAGGATTTGGAGCCGTCCCTGCATTTGATCACCTCTGCTGCATAGAATTTCTCATCTGCAAATTTTATAATTTAAAAGAAAGGATAAAAGAAGAGAAATTGGAAAGTCAAAAACAGAGACGAGATAAAACTAAAAAGCACGACAAAAGAAGAGATTTCACGCCATTTCAAGATCTTGCCTACTCTGCAACCTGCTCAAACCAGCTCGATCTTCCAAGTACGAGCTGAAAGTTTCGAGCTTTCGACATACCCAAGCACGAAAAAGTCAGGCTCCAGCAACCCAAAACTCAATCTTCCAACAAGATGCAAGATTGTCGAAATCTACAAGATCGCTACCGTACACCGACACGTACGCACACGCCCAGCCAACGAGAGACAGAGACAGAGACAGAGAGACGGAGAGCTAGTACCCAGCGGGTGGACGCCGAGGAGACGCGCGTCGGGAGGAAGAGAAGCGTAGGAGGACGCGACGAGGAAGCAGGCGGCGATGAGAGAGACGAGGCCCGTGGGTGGTCGGAGATCGGTCGCTCCGACGGCGGCGGCGGCGGCCATTTTCGATCCGAGGATTTTGCGAGTCCTCCGACGCCGCTGTGTCCTTCAAAAGATCGTCCGCCCGATGCCGTGGGAATCGGATTGCTTGACTTGTCCGGTCAGTCAGCATCAAGTCAATTGAGATGGGCCAAATCCAATTTTAAGGTAAATCGTAGGCTCATCGGTTTTCGGGCTGGGCTGATCATATCCTAGAACCGCGAACTGGACCGGACCGGTGATCGAATTTAGGATTTTGACAATTTTCTAGAAAAGATTAATAAAAAAAATATATCGGTTCAGTCCAATCCCAGCTATTTGTTTCCGCACCTGAAATTGGGAATCACCCAAAATTGGCCGGTTCGGTCCAATTCGGTTCCCATGCACACCCCTGATAAATTACATGTCAATTTTAAGGTGATTTGATGTAATTCGAAAATTTTCATGATTTTCACATTAAAGTAATTCCATTTAGTTTTTTTTTTTGATAGAAAGATCGCTCAATGACTTTTTTTTACCTAAAAAATAGTAAAAGAACATATGTGAATACGCATTTAAAAAAGAAAAGACTAAACGCCTAAGGAGAAAGGCAACTATTTAAATTTGCAAATTATGGAACTTTTTTTTTGGAAGAAAAATTATGGAACTTAAATGACTACATAATGAGAGGGCTTTAGATTCGATTTCGAAAAGTAATACGTTCATGGGATTAATAGACAATTATCTTGACTATTTGAATTATGAATTTTTCAACCTTATGTGGGAATTTAATGAATTATGGATCATGTGTGAAAACTATTTGAAAAAGATATCTTTGATTTCATGCCAACCAATCTTATCGGTAAAAGAAAAATCTTATTGGAAAGATGATTTTTTACTTTAAAATCTAGAGATATTGAAGTTTATTGTTGTGATACCCGACGCTCATAATAGTCTACTCCATCAAGAAAGAAAGAAAAATCACGACGACTTCACTCATCAGATGATCCCACCACTTGCCGATCTCCTCCGGGCGATGCACTCATCCTCTCGAGTCTCCGCCGCCTCGGTCGTCGTCCCTTCCGCCCCGGCCATGGCCTGACCCGACCCCCATACTGGTGCCCCGGGGTCGACCGATTCTGTCTCCAGAGAGCCAAGACCGAGCGGGGCGGCCACGGCGGCGCAGGGGGAGAGTCCAAATTCCAGGTTCGGTTTCTCTAAACGGGACATTCTTTTCATTATCTCGATCATCAAGTTCAGCAGGGGCGGATGACGCGAAAGTCCATCGGAACGTCTAAATGCTTCTGATTTTAATCAATGCAGAGAGGCTTAGATCGGCAAGCGGCGGGATCCTGTGATGAGTGAATGTCAAAGGAGACGACCGACATCATAGAACAAGACAAGCACCAAGACCCCAAGAGGTTCGATCCTGCGTAGGTTCTGTGCATGCAGAACAATGGTTGCCGTTCATCAAGACTGAGTGATGAGATTCTTGAATTTCGAAACTTTTGAATCTTCATCTTGAAAATTGTTCGCAACTCCATGGTTCATCTTCGAATTATACTGATAAATCTTACTATTTTGTGAATCTTTGTCTTGGAGACCTTTCCTGAGATCAGTCTATTCTGAATATTTTGTTTTTGATTATGCTTATTACCTTATCAAAAGACTCTAATAAGAATTTTCAATTAGTTGCGAGTTTTGTAGGAATATATTTTGATAATGAAGTTGGGTAGCTGAAACGTTTCAGATTCCGAAGAAGATCAGAGGACGAAATGAGGGACTGCGGAGGCGAGATAAAGAGTGACATTCTTTCAAGGCTTAGAAGCTTTAGATTGTTCATCTAGATAATATTAGCATTTATTTTCGATGATACGAAGATATTGTGTTAGGCTTTGATATCGATTCGTTTATGCAATGTATAAAGGTATTGGTCTCTCTAAATTTATCTACAATATATTCGAATGGATTGTCCAAGATTATTCGATTGGATTCATTAGTTTTGAGAGTATTCTAATGGCTAATGGCCAAGTTACTACTCAAGTTCTTAGAATCGAAATTTGGGTTGTGATACGTTGGAGGCTAGGTTTGCTTCTTTGACGAATTTGAGTGTTGAGTCTATTTCTTCGAAGATTGTCGATGGATCGATGCGTAAATCGACCTTTGTTAATTTTGGACGAGAAAGTAAATGTATAGAAAATTAAAAGTACAAAGACTGAAGCCAATCTTGGATAGCAATTAAACTGAGGATTGGAAACCAGCTAAGAGGGAGGGAATTATAAATTTGGGCCTTTATGACCAATCTGTAACCTTATTCTGGGTTCTTGAACAATGGGCCGAAGACCCTTTAGTTTGATAAGTAGGTGATTGTGATTGCGATTGCATAAAAGTAAAGATAAATTTGCAAAGAACTTTGTGATTGTGATTGATCGATTAGGATTTTTACAAATAGTATAATATGACTATTTAAAACTCACAATCGATGATTACAAGTGTCTATTAAATTTTAAAAGATAACTTCCTAATCTTATCCTAGTGATAATAAACATAGCCACCAAGCAGTTACTTCTTATCTTGTAACACTTATTTAAAAGAAATTTCATGTCAATTGATCACTTCATCCCACTAAGGATTCTCATCGATAACTGATGTTTGATATTGATAACTTCCTTGGCGAGTTGTCAATTATTTACTATCTTATAACACTTATCTAAATGAAGTTACATGTCGATTGATGACTTCATCACAATAAGAATTCTCATCGGTATGTTTTCAATTACTTATTATCTTGTAACACTTATCTAAAGGAAGTTATCGACAACTAATTCTCATCGATAACTATGTTTGATGTTGATAACTTCCTTGGCAAATTGTCAATTACTTATTATCTTGTAACACTTATCTAAATGAAGTTACGTGTTGATCGATGACTTCGTCACAATAAGAACTCTCATCATTATGTCGATAATTGATGTTGCTGTTGATAACTTCCTTGGCGAGTTTGCTAGGCAAGTTGTCAATGCTCTTCAAGTTGTCACATGTTCTTTTCATCGATGATTTATGATTACTAACCAAGTATAACGATTGTAATAGAAAGTATGTCATTTTTAGGAGTCAACATAGTCTCTTAAACCAATTGAATAATCTCACTTATATCCATGTCGCCACGCAAAATTACAATGTTGTGAGCAAGTAATCAGTGAAGGTTATAGTAAATGAACCACATGATATCGCATGTATATAAAGAGTTTACAAGCGATGGGGATGCTTTATATCATTTTTGTAAACATGTCTTGATAAGAGGTCGTAATACATTTAGAGTCATTGTTCTTGATTTTTCTACTTGGCTTCGCATATAGTTGAGAATTGAGTAAAATTGGTCACTAGATCAGCCGTAATTCGATGCATATGGCCTGGTGATTTGCCATACCATATCATCAGCAGCTGAACAAATCATAAAAACACCAAACAAAGTACGCAAAATCGAAGTCAAAAGAAACATTAGAATCCCAGAAACGTGCTAAGGCCTATTCTCCGAATACATTGAATTGTATAGTGACAATAATTTGGGAAATCAAACGGATAAATATAGAATAGAAACAGTAAAAGGTTGTATAACTATCCATGTATTTCAAAAGAAACCTCCGACAACCCTAGACAACAACAAAGGTGAGACTCTTGGGAGCTCCATCGTCCATCCATGGATGTTATCATCAAGTTTCTGATCCAGGTTCTCCCTATGTACCTGTAACATCATTGACAATAGCTACACTCAATTAGCCAGCAAGAAAATGTACCCAAACCCTAATTAATCGTCAAAGCAAACAATGAAACCATCTGCAGATTTTCACAGAAGTTGTAATTTGATTTACTAATTTGAGGTACGCTCCCAAAAAATTCGTTAGTACGGCTGTTGAGACTGACGGTGAATCGAATAGAAAACTTGAATGGGGTAAATTACCTGACATGAAGTAGAGCTGATTAAACCCATTAATACCATGTTGTTGGAGTGGGACACCAGAAGCAATCTCTCTTTCTTGATTCAAATCTTCTGAACTTTGCCCTTGATATGGAATCGAATCGATTATGCAACTCCCACTGTCACGCGTGTAAGTATTATTCATGGCCGTACCATGAACAACCCCTCCTCCTCCTCCGAAACTCGCCACGGTATTCATGCTCGTCCTGGGGTCGCATGCCATCGCATTCGTGCACTTGTTGTTCCACCCACCAAAGCTTCGCGCTGTGCCATGGCTTCTCTTGCTTAGCTCCCCTTGCAAGTGTTGCGATTGGATCACTTGCTTCTGGCACAAGCTCTTGTAGTATTGGAGCTCGTTTTGTATCCTTTGGTACTCCCCGAACGCGCCGTGGACTGGGTCCTGCTGCCGGAGCCTGGCCTCCCAGACGAGCGAGTCGGCGAGCCGCCGCCGGTCCTCCTCGCACACGCCAAGAACCATCTTGGTCACGTTGCTGACGCCGAAGACCTTGTGCACGGCTTGGAATTCCGCGGATTTCTCCGCGGGGAAGTACGGAGACAGCACGCACTTGTCGTCGCACTTCTTCCTTTGGTGCTTGCACGAGGCGCAGGCCGCGTGCGCACCGCCTATGCCATTGTTGATCGGCCTATGCATGGGTCCTGCATCAAGACGATGGCGAAAGAGATAGGATGAGAACACGAATATGTCTTTATGTTTCTTTTGCTTAAAGAAATCTCCTCATAAGGATCAATGCTCATGTAACAAACCTTGAATCGGATAGAGATGTGATGAGATTGAAATTCCATATATTTATGTGTTTATAAATTAATTCAAAGGCAATAAAAAGAAAGTGTTTTAGAATTGGTGAAGGTGTCTTTTACATGGACATGAAAAGATTATGGTAAAGTAGGATAAATAATATATATCTTGAAGATTGTTGATTAGGGTTTAGGTCAATCATAGAAAGAAAGAGTTCAATTCTAGGGCAACAATATCTTTTCTTTTTGGTCGGTAGGGCAACGATATCTAACAATCCCTTCTTTGTTATGTCAATTATGCTCTTTGAAAAGGGAAACAAAATCTTGGTTGGATTAGGCTTGTTTCAAATTAAAGACTCGCAAGATTAAGTTTGTTGCATCTTTATCAAATTCGTGCCCCAGTTTAAACAAGTGAATTTTTTTTTATCTAATCTAGAAAATCAAAAGAGTGAGAAAAGACTCGACACGCATTCTAGAATTATTCTAGTAGATCGTACGACATGTTGGCCGAAACCACTTACGAGCCCTATCATGTTCTGGATAATATCTCTTCCTTTTACATAACTTTGATAAATGTAATGAATTAAAAGAAGGGTTACTATTATGAAAAACTCCAAACCGGTACATTTGTAACAAATTTACCCCAAACTAATTTTTTTTATCATCAAAAAACCCCTAACTAGTATACCAGTGATAAATTTACCCAAAAATACTTTTTTAACCACCAAAAACCCTAAATTTTGTACATTTATGATAAATCTACCCTTCGTTAAACTGAATTAATACCATAAACAATCGCACACTGGTACACATATGACAAACGAAGGGTAAAATCCCAAACTGATACACCCGTCAATTGCCATGTATCATCTAACTCAGAAATTGACGGTAAAATTTAACGAAAACTAACGGAGGGTAAAATTATCACAAATGTACCAGTTTGGGATTTTTTATGGTCAAAAAATTAGTTTTGGATAAATTTGTCACATGTGTACTAGGTTGGAGTTTTTCATGGTATTAACGCTTAAAAGAAAGAGAGAGTATGAAATAGTTTACTGATTGTAAGATAAGGTGAAGGAATAAGAAGAGAAAATGAGAAATGATCAATCAATTGAATGAATGTTTTAAATTGATGCGAGATAAGGTAACAGAATTATCCAAGAAGAGAAACGATAATGATCAGTCAATCAAATGAATGTTTTAAATTGTTTGATCACCGGTTATTATTGGTTTCCAGGCATTCTTCTTTCCACGATAAGATTTATAAATAATTAAACATCACGGCTGATTACATAATTCTATTCTCTAATCGAGTTTGCTTAATTAGTGAAAATTTCAAAAGAGTTACTTCTCATTACTAATTTTGCCATCCTCAATACTATTGATCTAACTACACTAGTATGGATATATGAGGGGCCAAGTATAAGCAGTGTCCCGCTGCAATGGATTGGAGGTTTTTAAGGCACATTTGGCCAAGGAGGTGGCGCAGATGACCAAGCAAGCCTTGAGTTTCTTGAGTACTCTAGAACATGTTTAGAGGTAATATCAAAAATGTATGTTTGACTTTTAGAGAATTCTTATAATTGATAGGAATAAATGTTAATATGGAGATTGAATCTCTACCGTTAGACAAGGGGAGTTGTATGGTTGCAATGAAAGGAGCTCAATTAAGTAAAGGATGAACGAGCGGAAGGGTTGACCCCTTAGGCGCCACTATAGTAAAGGATGAACGAGCGGCCAAATCAACTGACGAACTGAATGGATGAAATTTTTTTATTTCACCGGGCTTTAATAATGAGTAGGACATGGTTTATTGATTGTAATGTAAGGTAATTAAGTTACCTAAAGAAGAAAATCGATAAATGATTTTTATTTAGGAAATGTAGGATGTTAGATACAGTTTTTAGACTAGTCAATTGAATGAATGTTTTGAACTATTTGATCGCTAAATTCTCTGTTATTATTAGGTTTCCGTAGAGTCTGCTTTCTAGATTATGATATATAGATAATTAAATATCACATGTACTTTGATAGAGTCATGTTGGGATTGGAATTCCATGTTGATGCTTTTATAGAAATTCAAAGGTACTGAAAAAAGTTTTAGAATAGATGAAGGTGTGTTTTACTGGACATGAAAAGATTATGGCAAAGTTGGACAGGCAATGATGAGCCCAATATTGTGGAAAATATTTCTTTTTTGACATATCTTTGATAAATGCAACAACTCAGAAGAGAGAATATGAAATAGTTTATAATTGCGAAATGAGATAATTAAGGCTCCGTTTGTTTCGCGAAAAATATGACACTTTTGAAAAATATTTTTTAAAAAGTCATTTTCCAAGAAAATGACAGTATTTTCCGGTGTTTGACCGAAACCTAAAAATGAATTATAAAATATTTTTCGTTATTTGTTATGGAAAATCCAATTTGATTTTTCTAAATAGACATACACTATTCAAATGCTAATAACTTATGCATCAACAGCTGGAGAATTGGGTATGGACACTAGAGTCCCGAGTTCAGCCTTAATGGACCCCAACCTAAGCACAGGGGATTAGGGCATGAGCACCTGGGTCCCTCGATGGACCCAAGCGCAAGCACCGAGGTTCTAGGCCGGCCTTGATGGACCCGAGCATGACCTTTGTGGACCCAGGCCCGAGTGTTCAAAATCCCACGCTTTGCCTATATGGACCCAGGCCCAAGTGTCAGGGCATCGGGCATGAGCATCGAAGCTTCAGGCCTTGCCTCGATGGACCTAGATACGGGCGCCGAGATCCCGGCACGAGTTTTAGGGTCATGAGCTTGGCCACGATGGACCTAGGCCCGAGTGCCAAATAGGGGTGTGCAAAAGAACCGGGACCCGCCCGGACCACCCGGAACCGCCCAGAACCGGACCGGAACCGGTGGTTCCCAAGGGAACCTGTCCGGTTCTCGGTTCCAATTTTTTGGAACCAGTACTGTTTGGGCCGGTTCCCGGTTCCCGGTGTGGAACCGCCCACCCGGACCGGACCGGTAATATAATAATAATATATTTTATTTTATTTTATTTTTAATTAAAAAAATCTGACCAAAAAAAATTAAAAAAAAAAGAAGAAAATTTGTTATCATGTCTGAAGCTCTTGTGTAGTTGGGATACCTTGGTCATTTTTCCCAATAATTAATGGGTACCCACTTGATTTATGGATGATGTGATTAATATAATCGATCATAGTGTAGGAATTGTATGAAAAATTATGTTCTTTTTCTTTTGTTCTGTTGATCCGATGTTGGTCCACAGATTTTTTTTTTTATTTGTCTAGGAAAACTTGTTGAGACCGGTTCCATGGACCCGCCCAAGAATCGGACCGGACCGCCAGTTCGGTTCTCGGACGGGTCCATGGAACCGACGGGCGATTCTCGGTTCCAATTTTTGGAACCGGTCCTGTAGCGAGCGATCCACGGTTCCGGGGTGGGAACCGCCCACCCGGACCATGCACACCCCTAGTGCCAGAGACATGATCCTAGACATCAAGAACCCAGGAATCAGCGTTGGATTTCCGTGCTCAAGCATAGAGTTTCAGGTTCAAGAACTAATACATAATCATATTTTAGAAAATGATTTTTAATTTTTTAAAGTAGAAATCATTTTCTTAAATTTAAGCACAGATTTTCCGTTGACTAAGAAAACATTTTTTGTTAACTCATTTTCCTCATAATACAACTCGTACTGGAAATTAACTCTTTCTTATTGAGTTACTCAATAAGTGTCCTTAAAACATTTGTTAACAAGAGATGAAGATTCTTTGTTTTCTACGTGCTCCTCTCGGCATCTTGACTAATTAATTGAGATTTTTGTATCGGTTCTCTCCATCGATTGATATTGCGCGTTGGACCTACATTGATCATATTCCATACTGCCCTTACCTGACGCTACTTTCGTCTTACTGCGATAACAAAATGGAACGCCATCTTATTCGAGAAACCGTTTCGTGAGCATCGTCCACGACATTAGCGGCTGACGAGGTGTACGACAATCAAATGACAACGCGCCACGGGTGTGCATTTTGGAGCCCAAATTCAAAAGCATTGAATAACGCTGAATGGATCGGGTCCTTCACTTATAAAAGATCACCTGCTATAAGTGACTGTACACACCCCAATAACCGATGGCGTGTACGTGTGGAACAAACCCCATTTCTTCCCATCTCACAGGAGTCTTGCAACTGATACAATCTTGATCATCAGAAAGGGAAAGCAGAGTCATGGGTCAGCTGGGTCGTGTTCTTGCTTTGGGGCGACACATTGACAAGTGTCTTGGGCTTCTTTCGGGGTGAATCGGCCCATCTAGAATCCATGCAAAACCCTAACTAACAAGACCCACATGGTGAAGAAATTCCTACGGTGTTCTATTTGCTGTCCTAGTCCTACTGTTTTTGTCCACAAATCCCGTTGTTGGGTATTCATCATAGTGTATTTGCTAATTAAGCAAGGTATTGTTATAATGATATCTTCTTCCAAGTTCATCATTTTAAGTCACTTCCCTTGCCCAACACTTAATCCAACTAACAACCAGCACCAAACACCACCATTTTTTTTGTCCAATGCCTCTGTACTTCCCCTTAAAGAAACAGAAAGCTTTTCCTTTGTGCAATCATCATTGTACAGAAAGATACAGTAGATAAAGATAAAGAAAGAGAGGGAGAGAGAGATTTAGTTTTGCTGCTAAAGTGGGTGCTCAGGATTCTCAAGCTTAATAAATTCCCACCTCCCCTCCAATCTTATTCGAATTTGAAACTCTCTCCCACTTCTATCTCTTTTCTTTGTCTATCATGAAGAGCAAGCGAATTTAGAGTATAGAGAGAGAAGACGTTTTTGTTTTTGCAAGAAAGGAGGAGGAAGAAGAAAATTAGAATGACCACAGCAAGATTCATCAAGTGTGTGACTGTTGGTGATGGAGCTGTTGGGAAGACATGCATGCTCATCTCTTACACCAGCAACACCTTCCCCACGGTCTGATGTGTTCCTGGCCTTTAAGTTTCATGTTTCTTTTAGGACTTGTGAATACTGGATTTCGATGTGGTTGCGCAGGTTTTTTTCAATCGATCAAGAATTTTGCAGTCTGATTCTCGTCTGTGAATTAGCGACGGCTCTCGTACGTGCGAATTAGCGACAGTTCGAACGATTTGACATCTTCTTTTTGCCATGCTGTAGGATTATGTGCCAACTGTGTTTGACAACTTCAGTGCCAATGTGGTGGTGGATGGAAGCACAGTTAACCTTGGACTGTGGGATACTGCTGGTGAGTTTGTGCACTCGTTCGCTGGAAAGTTTTTGCTATGCTAACTTTCATTATTCAGGCATTACATACATCCCAGTCATATGATTTTTCTGTCAAATTAGGTCCTCTGTTTTTCTAGACTATTCAAACTGCTCCTAATCTGTAAATTTCCTTTGTCTCTGCTGGTGCTAGGATGGAGTTAAAATTTCGCAATTCAAACTTAACCTTTCTACTTGACCATGTGCTTAGCTTTTGTTGAGATCTAACAGAGTCATAAAAATGATACGATAGAGCAAATTAGCGGAAAATTAGTTTGATTGAGAAACGGTCACTTATGCAAACCAATTACTCTGTAATTCTGCGAATTCAGAAAAATATGGTGTAGAATCATCGCACAGTTGATAATAGACAGGGCCAATCATTATTTCTATGGAAGAAGCTTAAGCTTTTAAATGAATTCAACTCGATGTAAAATTTATTTGATTTGGGCTTTTCTCTTCTTGCTTGCAGGACAGGAGGATTACAACAGGCTGAGGCCTTTGAGCTACAGAGGATCTGATGTCTTCCTGTTAGCATTTTCCCTCACCAGCAAAGCCAGTTATGAAAACATCGCCAAGAAGGTAAGCTGTCTTTGTTATAATACAGTCGATACAATTCATTTGTCTCGCTGCTTATGATCGGACATTCTCGGCTTTTCTTCGTGACCAGTGGATCCCCGAGCTGAGGCATTATGCCCCAACCGTGCCGATTATTCTGGTAGGGACAAAATTGGGTAAGTCCAGATACTCTCATCTTGCCACGGCTTTCAACTGATATCAGTAGCCGGATTCGATATGTGAACTCTTGGATGTGATGTGTCCTCAGATTTAAGGGAAGACAAGCACTACTTGATAAATCACCCCGGTGCGACCCCAATCACAACTTTTCAGGCAAGCCGACATCCACCAATAAGAAAATCTTTGATTCGGCGAAACTAATTTCGTAGCTAATTTATTTGATCGTTTTCTTGTTATTTTTTCCTCTGTAAATGAACTCAAAGAAACCATTCAATGATTTCTTAGGGAGAGGAGCTGAAGAAGAACATTGGTGCTGCTGCTTACATAGAGTGCAGCTCCAAAACCCAGCAGGTTCATTTTCTTCTTCTCGACTTCAATGTAACAAAAAAGCATTGGTGCTGCTGCTTACATATGTAGTCCTCTGTGTAAACATTTGCAGAATGTCAAGGCGGTCTTTGACGCCGCGATCAAGGCGGTTTTGCAGCCTCCAAAGCCGAAGAAGAAGCGAAGAAAAGCAAGGCCATCATGCATCTTCCTATGAGACATCTACATTGCCTCATCCAGACGGCGATAGTATAATTCTAGATCATCGGAAACGTACCCGCTTCCAGGACACATTCTCAAAAGACAACCCGAAATATTTTCTCGTCATCTGTAATTTCCTTTGCTCATTTTTCCCTCCCATCCTTCACTTCAGCTGAATACCTGTGGCATTGTATTGGGAGTTAATTCAAGGATTACACCATAGATTATACGCATAAGCATAAAGAGAAAGGGGCTGAGGCTTGATCAGTGCATGCTTTTTGAGATAGTTTGCTCTGGCTAAGTACTGTCTGGTTTACTCTACTTTGCCCAATATGGTGTCATCCAAGAATTAACTAGATATAATTGTCTGATATTTTACTTTAAAATAAAGTAAGAAAAAGTTTAAGCTCTCCTGATGTCAATTACAAGATTTTGTAATTTTCACTTGCCATTTGTCCGGCTCATTTCATAAATTGACAAACTTGTGCTTCGTCATCGAAATATGTCAAAACATCAATTCTAAACAATCACCCAAAATGATAAGAATCGCTCTTTAATCAACACACCTTCAAATGGACGTATGAATCCTTTTACACATCATTGGATCCCATTTATTGCTTTGTCCTTAGATTTTGCTAACCCAAGAACCAAAATTAGTCGAAGGTTAGGAGCCTAGGTTGTGCAGATAAGTCTGCACTAGGACAGACCCAACGTCACCGATTCCAGCAGGATCAACTTCCTCTTCCCCAAAATTGACCATCTCCCCAAAAAAACCACTTGATCATCAATCGTATAATGATTGAGAGAAATGCGAGCCTACAAGGGTGCGTTTGGTTCGCTTTGGAAATGGGCTTTGGAGCTCTATGACCTTTGAGCACGTTTTGATAGCTATTTTTAGGAGCCCATTTGGGAAATGCTAACATTTCCAAAGTCCTTGAAACGCCTTTGCTTCAAGGCTACCACCAATCAGCATTTGGCATTCAGTATTTTCGGAATGTTCGAGCCCATAATTAATGAAATCTTTTATTCCACTTTTGCCCTCATCAATTTTTCACATCTCTCTTTTACCCTTGATTTTGCACTATTCATTACCTTCCCTGCTTGCACTGCACTATTCATCGCCTTCCCTGCAGCTCGAGATCTGGCGACTCGTCGATTCATCGCCTCGCCTAGCCTAAGGTCAAAGTCGAAGTTGAGGTACGAAGTCGAAGTCGAAGTCGCAGTCGAGATCTAAAGTCAAGGTCTTCCTCCTTGGCGATTCGTGGCCAGGCTTAAGGTCGAAGTCGAAGTCAAGATCTGGCGTGAATCCTAATTAATGAACCATTGAGTTCATTGAAATCCTAATTGATGATTGAAAAGAAAAAGATGGCACATGGCTATGCCCTTAGGAACATTAAAATCCTAATCGAATCCCTAGTCTCCCTCAATTTGTAATCAATGAAACAACAGGTGTTGTCATTCACATGCGAGCCCACGTCGTTTTCTTACCTAATTCCTTCCTTATGCAAGATTAGCGACGTTTCGCACCAAAGTTGGCACGTTGTGAATTTTAACTTTGGTTATAGACATAGACCAAAAATGCGAAAGAGACCGTAAATTGCACCGGAAAAGCAGAAGCGACATCCTGCCCTTTTTCTTGTCGTGTTTAGAACAAGGGCTGGATATTTCCTCGTGGGGGTTAACAGGGTTTAACAATTCGTAATTTTTCCATGAAACAATATTTAATAAAAGGGATGATATCACGAAAAACCCCAAATCGGTATACATGTAATAAGTTTATCTCAAACTAATTTTTTGACTATAAAAAACGCCCCAAACCGGTACACATATAATAAATTTACCCAAAATTAATTTTTTGACCACAAAAAACCACAAACGGATATACTTATGACAAATTTACACTCTGTTAAACTGATTAGCATCACGAAATACCGCAAACTGGTAAATTTGTGACAAAAAGAGGGGTAAAACCCTGAATTGGTATACCCGTCAACTATTACGTGTCATCTAGCTTAGTATTTTGACGGTAAAATTTAACGGGAACTGACGGATGGCGAATTTGTCGCGGGTGTACCAGTTTCGAATTTGGGGTGGTCAAAAAATTAATCAGGGGTAAAATTTGTTGAAAGTATATCGGTTTGGGATTTCTTGTGAACCAAATCATGTTATGAAAAAGAAAAGGAGAGAAAAATAAAATATAAAACAAAAACATGTTTTTAAGGAAAAACCGGAAAATAACTCTGATATTCTAGAAGGAGGTTGCTTTTTAGTATGATTTTTCTTTTAAATTTATTAGATAATATCCATTGGGCACACTTCCCGAGATGATCGCGATTGGTTTCCCGATTACGAAACCTTAATTTCCCAGAGAGAGATTAAGCGCCATTCAATGGGCTATGATCATCGACTAAATATCACGAGAAAATTTCACGCGCCCTCTTCGGCGCGCGTGCGCGGCACGTTCCGAGATCGGACCTTTACTTTTTGTTTCGTGGACTCCTTCCTCAAATTGAAAAGAGGAAGAAATTCATTCTTGTTTAAAATGTCCCGGGAAAAACACATAATTTCTATTTAAGTACAAAGAGATAACGACACAAATGATCACTTGTACTTTTAGCTTTTTCAGTGAGACCCTGAAACTTCAGCTCAATATGCAATATCGCCACTGAACTTTTAATTTATTCAATTTAGTCTTTAAACTTTTGTTAAACGTTCAAACTAGTCCTTAAACCATACGAAAACATCTGATAGTATCCTTCTATCAATTTAAATTTGGGTTAATACCACGAAAAATCCTAAAATGGTACACTTGTGACACATTTACCCCAAACTGGTACACCTGTGACAATTTTACCCTGAACTATTTTTTTGACCACCAAAACCCCAATGTATGCAGTGACAATTTTACTGAACTTACCACAAAAAACCCCAAATGGTATATATGTGACAATTTTACCCTGAATTAAAATTTTAATATTATTTTTATTTTTTCGAAATTTTATTTATTTTTTATTCTTTTCTTTTCTTTTTTTTTTCATCTTCAGACCCTGACCGGTTGCCGGTCCGGCGACCGGCCAGAGGCGGAAGCCGGCGAGGGCCGCCCGACGCCGGCGAGGGCCGCCCTCGCCGGCGTCGGGCGAGGGCCACCCTCGTCGGCGTCGGGCAAGGGTCGCCCTCGCCCGCCCGGGGCAAAGGCGACCCTCGCTCGACTCGGGCGAGGGTGCCGACGCAAGCGAGGGCGACCCTCGCTTGAGTCGGGCGAGGGTCGCCCTTGCCCTGGGCAGGAGAGGACGGCCCTCGCCCGACGCAGACGAGGGCCGCCCGACCCCGGCGAGGGCCGCCCGACCCCGGCGAGGGCGGCCCGACGCCGGCTTCCGCCTCTGGCCTGTCGCCGGACCGGCGACCGGCCAGAGATTGAAGGTGAAGGAAAAAAAAAAGAAAAGAAAAAAGAAAAAATTCAAAAAAATTCAAAAAAATAAAAAAAATAATATTAAAAATTAGTTTGGGGTAAAATTGTCACATGTGTACCAGTTTAGGGTTTTTTGTGGTATGTTTGGGGTAAAATTGTCACGGGTGTACCAGTTTAGGGTTTTTTATGGTTAAAAAAATAGTTTGGGGTAAATGTGTCACAAGTGTACAAGTTTAGGGTTTTTCGTGATATTAACCCTTTAAATTTAGGAACAATATTGAACATGTACGAAAAGTTTAAGGAACAAATTAAAATTTCGGGGATGATATTGCTTATTGGGCTAAAATTTAGAGATCACATTGCACATTGAGTCAATGTTCAAGGACCATTCGTACCAATTTCCCAATTGCAAAAACTTTCCTAGTTTCTCGGGACGAGTGCACTGGAAGTCTTAAAACTTGTCGCGAAAATGCAACCGAGTCATGAAATTTTCAAAAAGTGCAATCAATCCCAAAACTTATTATAAAAGTATAATTAAGTTCTAAAACTTTCAAAATATGTAATTAGTTATAAAACTTGTCAAATCGGTACAATCAAGCCCTCAAATTTGTTAAGTTGGTGCAATCGATTCATAAAACTTGTTACCATTCTCCGCCTGCCATGATGGAAGGACTTGATCGCATCAATTTGATAAAAGATTTAGGACTCAGTCGCACTTTCGCGACAAGTTTTAGGCTTATCCTTAATTTCTCGAAGCTAAAAAGAATAATTCGTCGGCGGACGGGTGCATGTCAGACGCGAACCCTGCGCGCGTAGGGACAGCTTCTCCGGTCAACGCCGGAGCACCGGTTTCCACGGCCGACCCCGCCTCCCTCTCCTTCTGCTCTCCTCCTCCTCCTCCTCCTCCTCCTCAGGGAGAAGAGTCCAATCTTTTCAGAGGTTCCCATCTTCATCTTTCTCCCCTCGCTCCGTCAAGAAACCTTCGAATTCCCTGCGATGGATCGAGCCTCATGGCGTGCCCAGATCCTCAAGAACCACCTGACCCAACAACACCCATCTCCTCCCCAGACCCCGCCCCTTTCCTGGACCCCGTGCCTCGGCTACTCCCCGCCGGAGCTCGCCGAGCCGACCCGCTTCGACACCGACGCGATGCGGGCGCTCCTGGACGGCCACAACCTGCGGGAGCGGGACTGGCTGTTCGGGCTCATGTCCCAGAGCAGGCTCTTCAACCCCAGGAAGCTGGGCGGCCGGGTCTTCGTCTCGCCGGACTACAACCAGTCGATGGAGCAGCAGCGGGAGATGACGATGAGGAGGATCGAGTTCCTGCTCGAGACGGGCGTCTTCGAGGGGTGGCTCACGGGGAAGACCGTGGAGGACGAGCTGCGGAAGTTCGCGCTGAACGAGGTGGTCGGGATATTCGATCACTCGCTGGCGATCAAGCTCGGGGTTCACTTCTTCTTGTGGTGCGTCTCTCGCTTGTGTGGGCTTGAGTTTTGATTCGATGATCGAACGGCGATTGTGTTCTTTGGGTCGGCAGTTTGGTGAATTGGAGCTTTTTTTGACGTTTTAGTTGGCATTGGAGGAGCAAGTTGCTTGATTTCATAATGTTTGTAGTCATTAGCGTTCAATTCCGTACTCGGTCCGATACCATTATGGACAATTGTATTCTCTGTTTATGCGGTTCGTTGTTGTCTGGCAATTTTCACAGACCCGGTAGGAATCTTTCTCTTCGATGGCTCTGCGAGTCTCCTCTGTTTTTCTGCATATGTTGTTATGTGCTTGGTCTGCGTCCCGCATTACTTCTCTGCCTAGGTAAAGATTAGTATGATTGTAAGGATGCTTACATCTGTGTGCGTTGATGGGATTTCAGGGGTGGTGCTATTCAATTTTTCGGCACAGAGCGGCACCACGTGAAGTGGTTGAGAGACACCGAGAATTATGTGGTCAAGGGTTGCTTTGCGATGACTGAATTGGGGCATGGGAGTAATGTACGCAGCTTTAGTGAACTATTCTACGACCGACTCTCTTTTCTGAAGGGTCCTATTTATGAGTGAATTCGATGTGTGTGTTTATTCCTTGATGATTTTTTGTTTTAACTGACTGCTATTGGGGTTTGTGCTGTCAGGTTCGAGGCATCGAAACAGTTACAACATATGATCCAAGGGCCAGGGAGTTTATTATTAACACTCCATGTGAGTCAGCACAGAAATATTGGATTGGAGGAGCAGCAAATGTAATGACATTTTTACTCGCAAAATAGAATTTCCTTGTAGCATGTAGCCATGAAATACGACACTGCGTCTTACTATTTTATCGTATAAAAGTACCGTGTGTCCTCACTATTAATATAATTGTTATCGTGGCTGTGCAGCATGCAACGCACACAGTGGCTTTTTCCCAGCTCCATATCAATGGGATCAATCAAGGGGTCCATGCATTTATAGTACAGATAAGAGATGCAGATGGCAACATCTGTCCTAACATACGTATAGCCGATTGTGGGCATAAAATTGGTCTGAATGGTGTTGACAATGGTCGGATATGGTAATTACTTGTTGTTCATCGGTACAAATTTTGCTCAGATGTGCATATCTTTGTATGGTCTAAGAAGTTCCTTCAATGCGGTGGATTAGGTTTGATAACGTGCGGATACCATGGGAGAACTTGTTGAATTCAGTGGCTGATGTTTCACCAGATGGGAAATATCTTAGTGCTATAAAAGACCCTGATCAAGTAATTCACATCTAAAATTGCAGACATACAACTTTCTTATGTTCTTTTTTGTTTTTTTTTTCTTGACATTTTTGAGCTGGATAGCAGCCGGAGAATATGATTTATATGTTCAATGGAGTTTCTCAAGTGATGGTTGCACTTCTATTGTCCAGAGATTTGCAGCATTCTTGGCCCCTTTAACAGCTGGACGTGTAAATATTGCAGTCAGTGCAATTTACTCTGCCAAGGTAATTTAAGTTAAACTTTAGAATTGCTATGCGATGACCGGAGGTGAATTCTATACAACCATCATGTGTGTCTTGATGTTAATTTTGTCAGATTGGTTTGACAATTGCCATAAGGTATGCATTGTCAAGGCGAGCATTTTCAATTGCACCCAACCAGCCTGAAGTACTATTGCTTGACTACCCAAGTCATCAACGGAGACTCTTACCTCTCCTTGCAAAGACGTTAGTTTTCTCTCACTAATTGCATTAATAGGCTCGATTGTCTTCGTTTTAATATCATGTCATGAGATGTGTTTTCTACATTGGTTGGATATTGTTAATATTCTACGGAAAAAGACAACATTTGCAAGTTGCAGCACAGACTTTATTGTATAACCTTCACTCTCATCAAGTAACTTTGCCTTTGGGTTTAATTAAATTGCTGTGACACGTGGTTTCAGTTTTTGTTGAATTATTTCGACACCCTGCATCATTCCTAGAAATTGTTATGACCTCCTTTCATTAGTTTTGCATTAGGAAAAAATGAAATATGTCAATTGTCCCATGGTTAACCCTTTTTTTCCCTTAAGTTCAGATGTTCTGGAATTCAATTTTTTAGCGTTGTGTGTTCCTTATACTTATTGCCATTCAACAAGCACACAAAAAATTTCAAGTCAAATTTATCAGTTAATGAGTGCTAGTTTGAATCGCTAGCTTTATTGGTATGCATTGTTTTATTAGCTATTATATGATCAGCCTAGAAATATGCAAACACCTAACAATAAGGTTCATAAATCTGAGTCGCTAGTTTGACAATTTAGCATAAGTTTACGTTGTTCTGAGCATTATTTCGTTCTGTTGCAGATATGCAATGAGTTTCTCTGCTAACCACTTGAAGATGATTTACATGAAGCGGACACCTGAATTAAACAAAACCATTCACATTCTCTCTAGCGCGTTTAAGGCTTCATTTACCTGGCATAACATGCGGACTCTTCAGGTTCTTTCATACATATAGAGTTCAATATACTTCCATGGGCTGCCTTTTTTAACTCTTTTTGTTGAATCAGGAATGTCGTGAAGCTTGTGGAGGACAAGGCCTCAAGACTGAAAATCGTGTTGGCCATTTGAAAAGTGAAAAAGACGTGCAGTCCACATTTGAAGGGGACAACAATGTTTTGATGCAACAGGTTGGCACCTTTAAATTCCTACTGCAAAAGGAAAACAACAAGTTAATTATTTTGAAGCACTTCGGTAGTGAATTTGTCTATTTGATTTGTTGCTTATTTTCTTTCTGATAGTGAGACCAAGGGACATGGATATAAAACCATGTTTAGGATCTGTTAGTGTTAAATTCAGAATAGATTTGAGTGCTTTTAATTGGTCACAGTTTATGTGGTAGTTAGGCAAAAAAATCAGTGACATGATTTTGCAACTTCTATTCTGAAGGACCCTCTAGTTGTAATCTCTTTAAAGATGAGCATGCTTGGGATGGTCACTTTTTCTTGTCGTTCCCTACTTTTCTTAGGTCTCTATTTTTGTCTAAAGTAGTGAGAAGTGCAATAAACAATGAAATGCCATCCAAGCACGTAAAATATATGTTTATGCAACTTTTTTCGTTTTTATCATCATTGGGGCTGCAAAAGTTAGCATTTCGACTGGTTTTTTGTTCATTTGTTTTTACCTTTGGTTCTCTAAAAAAGAAAATTGCAGAGCCGTCGCCACTGATGGGTGCAAACATCTGTCGCCCAGCTAAAAGTGGGAAAATGAACAAAAAGATTGTTCTAAATCTTGTTAAATGTAGTTGAAAAGGCCTCCATCGAACTGGTTAAGACATGGAGCGCTGATATTTTCATTCTTCCCTTTTCCCTTTATGGGTCACATGCTTGTAAATCCCTGTCCCATCCCATGCTATATCTGTCTTACCAGCATGTACTACTTATCTTAGTTGGTAGTTTGCCTTTGTATATTCTCCTTGTAATGCAACAGGTGATATTTCCTACTAATTATCTGTGCTCTTAAAAGATTTTCTCAATCGGATGTGTGCTATTGTGAATTCAGATAAGCAAGACACTCTTTGCTGAATATCTAGCGGCTCGAAAGAGAAATAAGCCATTTAAAGGGTTGGGATTGGAACACATGAATGGACCATGCCCTGTGATACCACAGCAGCTCCCCAGTACTGTGCTTAGAAGTGGCCACTTCCAGGTTGATGCCTTCCATGCGAGGGAGAGAGATTTATTGAAACGTTTTGCTGAGGAGATATTGCAACGTCAAGCACAAGGAGAAATGAAAGAGCATGCATTACTTTCAGTGAGTATATGTTATGACTAAATAACGCCTCTCTCTCTCTCTCTCTCTCTCTCTCTCTCTCTCTCTCTCTCTCTCTCTCTCTCTCTAAAGTTGTTTTCTTTCACCATCCCAGAGTTACCAGCTTGCAGAAGACTTGGGTCGAGCTTTTTCAGAACGATGTGTACTGCAAAATTTCCTAGTAGTTGAAGAAAAATCACCAGCTGGTTCATTGAAGGTAAATCTGTGTTTATTCTCCCCAATACTGATATAACATTCACTTTGAGGAATGAGCAGTTTATTATTGTTCAGTTTGGCAGGATTTGATGTAACTAAAATAACACAGTAGGCTATCTATGATTTGAATGAAAAAACAAAATCAGGAAATGATTGGAAAGTTGATCTGCTTCCCTTCTGGCATCTGGTTTTACAGTCAAATAAATGTGAAAAGTGCCAAAACACTAAGTAAGAAATCTTGGATGTTCATATCTGTGTATAATCTCATAGTTCTTAATTGGTGAAGCCTAATGCAATTATTTCAGAAGCTACAGTAAAAGAAAGCTACAGTAAAAATCGCTGCAAATGTCTAAAGCCCAACGTTATAGCCAAAATTATAATGCATATAAAACATATTCTTGATTTGTCAATGAGGCGATGATTTCGGGTAGGTATCCTGCAACATATGCACCTTGAGTGGAAGGATATTTGTTTCCACGAATTTTATGCTTTCATCCCCTTTATCTATGAATTAGATGACATGACAAGCTGTCCTGTAGTGCTAAGTATAGGAGAGACTTATAAGCCTTGGTGTGCTTTCTCGAGTGCACTTTTGTGGTTGTGCAACGTGTTTCAGGTTGTACTGAATGTGCAAATCGATGTACATGATTATCTACAGGACATGCTGGCTCTGCTGAGATCCATGTATGCCTTGACCTGCATGGAAGAGGACGCTTCATTCTTACGGTACGGCTACTTATCGACCGAGAATGCCGCTGCTGTACGGAAGGAAGTGGCGAAGCTCTGCAGCGAGTTGAGACCACACGCACTCGCTTTGGTCAGTTCCTTCGGCATTCCTGATGCTTTTCTGAGCCCTATAGCTTTTAACTGGGTCGACGCGAATTCCTGGTCTTCAGTTCAACACTAGCTTGATTGACACCGCCAGTACCTCGTTGATGGGAAATAATTCGATGCATTGGTAGCTATTTATTTTGTATCCAATAAATCCTTGGAAGGAAATGTAGATTGTGCAGTAGAGGTTTCTGCTTGTCTTTCCTGCCGAACACATCATGTACTTCACATCTTGTTTATTTCTCTGGTTTCTTGTACTTGGTTCAAGGACCTTCCTCATAGGAAAGTATACACTTGGTCTTGGAATTTTTTTCCTTGTAGTGTGGATTTGATATGGCCAAGAAATGATCAATAATGGAAAAAAGTGGCTTGTAATATTGGAGAATAAGGATTTTCTGCTGAACTCTGAAAGCTTTCATTTAACATATTTTCAGCTGGTTGATGGTCATTTTTTTTCATTCTGGCTTTGCTCCTAGAAAGGTTTTCCAATAACAATAGTTGTCTTTCATGCATAGTGACAAAATGCGAGAAAATTGACCACAGTGCATGAAAATGCCTTGGCATGTGAATTTGAAGCCAGCCATGAGAATTTCTCTATTGGCTTCTTCTCAGCTAGGCTAAACCTAAGCCTTGCTTGGATAGAGGTCAAACTGTGACAGGACCTTCAAATTAGAATCATGTGATAACCATGAAAAATGGTTACATGAAGAGGAGGAGATTGATTCCAGAAAATCTGCAGAGTCGAGGGACGAGGCCGAAGACTTCGAGTGTTCATTTACGGGGTGCAGTCAGTTGCATCGTTTATTACATGAGCTGTGGAAATAGGCTCACCCACGCAGTCACGCACCTCAGAATATGCAGTTCACAAACTTTAATAAGTGACATATTGGTCGGGATAATGGCTGACTACATGAATATACCGAAAGCATTTATGGAGTAGTTGGAGCAACAGCAAAAACAGATGACAGACCGTACCTCATGCTACTTCCACAAACTTGGGAGAAAATATAGCCAACATAACAGATTCAGTTCTTTCTCTCCCTCTTCCTCCTTTTAATAGTCTCTTCATCTTCCTCTCGTCCTACAGAATTACTGTGCATTTGGCATTTCTGTCCAACAGGTATTCTTCTTGCTTTTCCTTCTTCTTCTTCTTTCCTCGATAGTTTCCTGCGATTTTGTGTGGCGCTACATTGTAATAATCTCACGACATTATCTTGTTCCAGTTCTATTACATTTCTCTCTTCCGTTTAATTTCTTGCCACGGTTTCCATAATTGATCAGCGAAACATCTCACCCCGCATACGCTTTCAGATAATGCCATGGATTTGCCAAATCTCGGGTCGAAAAATCAAACTCCGGATATTTACGGTTCGCGTGTTTTAAGCTAAAGCTCTCTATTTTGCAGTTTTGTAGAAAATTCCCAAAAAAGGAAAATGTTATTTTGGGATGAACTGCTCAGTGTTTCGTATTTTTCCATAGTGTTTTTTTTTATTTCAATCTTAACATGGAATATCGGTTCAAAATTAGTAAATCGTCAAAAGAGATTAGTCCTTTTCCATCTTTCTACCATGTGGTTGTCTTTAAAAGGTAAAACGACGTTACGTGATTGGATGTTTCGTTTCTGATCATCTCAAAGATAGCTCGTGATCTGATGTTTCTTTTCGATCAAAGCGGTCACGGCTATGTTATAGGAGAGCTCTATGATAAAAGTGATCTGCCACTGTTGTGGTTTCATATTTTCTTCTCTTTTCCCAGCAATCCTCAAAATGCAACAATCCTTGAATAGTTTTGCTCGAGACATGCCGTTAACATGACCGTTTCTCCTCAAACTATTTGAAAACGACACGCACCAATCTCGTACTTTTCCTTAATTTCTCTATTGGATTGGCCAGGATCATGGTTGAATCAAGCTTGCACATTGCAATGTACCCCTGGTTGGCAATGGGCCACCTGACTCCGTTCCTTCACCTTGCCAACAAGCTGGCCAAGAAAGGCCACAGGATCTCCTTCCTCATCCCTACCAGGACCCGCGCCAAGTTGGAGCACTTCAACGGCCGTCCCGACCTCATCACGTTCGTCCCAATTGCCATCCCTCAGGTGGAGGGACTCCCTCCTGATGCAGAGACCACCTCTGACGTGCCCTACCCGCTCCACCCTCTCATCATGACCGCCATGGACCAAACCGAGCCGACAATTCGCCAAATCCTTGAGACCCTGAAGCCTCACTGTGTCTTCCATGACTTCACTCACTGGCTGCCTGCCATCGCACGTGACCTGGGGATCAAGTCGGTCCATTATTGCATCGTCAGTCCCGTAACCATCAGCTACACCCTATCTCCGGCGAGGCACCTCAGTGTGCACAAGTTAACGGAGGCCGACTACATGGTCCCCCCAGCTGGCTTCCCAGATTCATCAATCAAGCTCCACCTCCACGAGGCCAGATCCCTGGTTGCAAGAAGGTTCCTGACTTTCGGCAGCAATATCGGGTTCTCAGATCGCATGTTCGCTGGATATGTTGAGTCCGACATACTGAGTTTTAGATCATGCCGAGAAATTGAGCAGCCCTACATTGAGTACCTGAAAAGCCAATTTAAGAAGCCTGTTTTGCTTTCTGGACCAGTCATACCCGAGCCATCAAGTTCTGCCCTAGATGAGAAATGGGTCAAGTGGCTAGGAGATTTCGAGGCTGGCTCAGTGGTTTACTGTGCATTCGGAAGCGAATGCACAACGCAGAAGGATCAATTCCAAGAACTACTGCTGGGTTTAGAACTTACGGGGTTGCCTTTTCTAGCAGCACTCAAGCCACCTTTCGGAACATCATCAATTGAGGAAGCCTTGCCCGACAAATTCGAAGAAAGGGTTCAAGGACGGGGTATAGTATACGGGGGTTGGGTCCCACAACAGTTGATACTTCAGCACCCAGCCATTGGTTGCTTCATCACGCATTGTGGAAGCAGCTCTCTCATTGAAGCACTTGTCAACAAGTGTCAGCTCGTGCTATTGCCGCAAGTGGGCGATCAGATATTCAATGCGAGGATGATGGGCAACAACTTGAAGGTCGGAGTCGAAGTAGAGAAAGGCGAAGAAGATGGGCGCCTGACGAAGGACTCCGTGTGGAAGGCTGTGAGGACAGTGATGGATGAAGGAGATGCATACGGGAGCAAAGTGAGAGAGAACCATGCTAAGATTAAAGAAGTTTTGCTGGACAAAAAGCTTGAGTCCACTTATATAGATTGTTTTGATGAAGAGCTCCAAAATCTGCTCCATTGATGCTTCCACTTTCAGCTGTCATGGTTAAATGACCACTATTGCTGAACAGAAGAAGAAGATGAGGAACTCCAACTATGGAATTCTGTACTACAAGAAGCACTTGTCCTATTTATTCTGCTAAAGTTTTTTTTTCATGATCATCAGAAATGTAAAACAAGAGAAATGTCAAAATTATAAGTTGTCATCAATATAGTGTTCATCTTTACATGCCAAAACACCTCGTCATCTAGCAATCCGAATAATTTTCAATACAAACTGACCGTGAGATTTCTGTTGTTCGTACACACACAGGCAAGCACATGCGCACATATATAATCGACATAAATGCCCAGGATTTAGTAACAACTAACCAACCCTTTCGGAGAATCCCCACCGAAGCCTTCTTAACACAAAACACATGTAAAAAGAATGACACGCAACTTGTAATCCGACATCGTTAATCATCAGAACGACCACCCCGGCAAACATCTTAAAGGCGTACGGACGGTAACAGACAGAAATATAAGGAGAAATATTAGTAAAAGGAGAGACGGAAATTATTCACGTCATGCTTCATAGATTCTGTATTTGGGTACAATCTAGTTTAATCTGTTTGACCATATTAGTCAGAAAAAATCAAGACTCCGGCCAGCAGATAGCAATTCTATATTTGAGTTCACAAAATTGGTCAGTGGTAGTGTGAGCTATAAGCACAGGAATCAAGATGGTCTTGCACTCTCATTTACAGTTGTGTGTGTTTGCCTTATACCAGTAAGTCCACGTCCTTCAGCAAGTCCATCCAGTTCTTCAACTCTCCGCCTAAGCAGCTCAACTTCTCTAGCTAATTCTTCGTCTCTCCTTTTCATTGCCTACGCCATGGTACACAATGGATGAAGAAGGAAAAAGAGCACAGACTTCTATATATATAATGTAGCAAGCAACTTTGTCAGACCAGAACAAACATTTTTGTCATTCCTCAAGAATTTTGCTTTCGCCACTACCATGTGAAAGTAATAGTCCTGCCAAAGTTAAGTTACGGAAGGAAACTTCAGCAGTTAACGGTCGTTATTTGCCAGTCTCTGGACAATAACAGCTCATGAGAAAGTTTCTGACATTATATCCATGCTCCTTCAGCTGCTCAATTGACGCTAATATAAAACACGAAGTACCTTCATTTGACGAAAGGTGAATTGACAGATGTTGCAATGTCTCCAATTAGCCATATACAATGTCATTCCAAAGCATATGAAGCTTAAACCAAATGGATAGGCATGCCTCACAGAAACTTCTACGATGACTATCACCCAAGCCTAGAGAGAGAAAGGAAAAGAAAAGCAAGCAGGAAAACTCATATCGACGGATACCTCTAGTTCCTGTCTGCGCAACTCCTCTTTTCTTGCCTCTGATCTGGAACTTCTTTGGACTTCAAATATAAGAGCCGCTCCGGCCACCTGAGGAAGTGCGAGAATCATTTGAGGACGTGAGAATGACCCAAAAAATGGGAGGTCATAACAGTGAGAAAATCAATATCTTTCATATGCTTGCAGCTAGCACAGTCATCAATTTAGCATTTCACTGGACTAATATATCCCCCGTAGGAGAAATTCTCCAAAAGGAGGAAAACAGAAGTCCTCACTGGAAATTATGTAAAACACACCCCGTATGACTGCAGCCTTTCATTTTGACGAGCAATTCTGCTAAGGATGAACATACTCATAACAGCTACAAATATTTATTAAACTTATCCAGCTTCCTCTAACGGGTAGAATGACCAGTAAAATGTGTTTCCGCCATATTTTTTTAATGGTCATGAGGGACAAAAGCATGCCAATACAGTAGAAATAGACAAACTTTTTTTCACAAGGTACTTCTGTTTTAAGGAAAACGAGCAGCACTTCCATGTAAACCCAATGAAGGGACAAAAACATTCACCGTGACAATCTCTCGAATGCCAAGAAAAGCATAAAATAATCACCTGAGCAACAATTTCTCTAGATTGTCCAATACACTCCTGGATCAAGTACATGTTCCATACCTTCTTGAAAACAAAAACTAACAATAGCATGTAATCTCAAATGATTTTGTGGCTGCAACATTTAGTGAACAGGGCACCACCCGAATATGCTTATTCACATCTTGGAGTCACAAACAAAAAAATTCATGATTTTGTTCCATTCATATCCTCTTGTGATGAGTTCACCCGCAAGCATCAAATTGCCACAAAATTCAATCGCCAGCACACGTGTGGAGGAGGAATAGGAAATGGGGAAGTCGCAGTACCTACCGAGAACACAAATAGTTCACCAGCGAGATCAGCAGCAGCCTGGACAGCCTTCTCTTCATTCAAAGGCCGTATGGCGACGTCGGTCGCATGACCGTAAATGCGCCTTTGAATTTGCGTGGAAAACCTGTGGTTCGCCTTATTGGAAACAAGTAAAGGGTTTTCAATCATCCACCACTGGCAGTCCAACATGCTCAAAAGTTACAAACAGAACACAGAGTCTCCTATGCCCCAGACTAACAAACGGGACCGAAGCTCCAAAACCCAATATCAAGCTCGCAGAAATTAACGATCAAGCACTAAGAACAGCAAACTATGACTCGACCCACGTGAGAAAACTGAATAAAGAAGGCATCGTCTTCGACAATAATGAGAGAGAGGGATGAAAAAGATAAACCTGGGCAAGATTGATGATGAGCTGTCTGAACTTGGCGTGATGCGCGGCTTCTTTCTTGATGCGATTGGCGATGGGTTTGCTGAAGGTTTTCACAGCCAGGGTTCCTAACTTCAATACCGGTAGTACCATCTCTCTCTCTCTCTCTCTCTCTCTCTCAAATTCAGATACAGAACGAGAAGACATCACCCATTTCACTCCACCGGAGGAGGGAAGGGAGACTTGTGGAAATGCTTGGGGATGTTCCCTCTCCCTACCTTGTTGATCTCTAGGAATTCTTTGTTAGTGGGTGAAAAAATATGGAAGTGAAATAAAGTGTGATATTCGACCAAAAGAATAAAAGATAAAAGTGTGATACCATTAAAAATTGTCAAATTGGTGTCCCAATATATTTGTCGTTAACTAATTTTCATCTCCCCAAAATATCTTAAATCGATATAGTATAAGGCATTTATCGCCGAACTAATTTTGTCTCAGAAACTTGGAAATCTGCATAAATCGATATGGGAGCTCGGAAATGGGATATCCAGAATTCTAACTAGATCTTCACGAAAAAACACAAATTGTTACCCCTTACCAATGTACTCTCCATTAGTATTATGTTCAATATCTCGTTACAATGTATGAACGACTACAAGATGGATTTGACATGGAGAATGACATAATCATCTTGTGTCTTAGGGATACTTGTTAAAAGACCCGATATTCATTACTAATTATGATTAATGAATATCGGAGCACTCGTTAACAAGTTTCCTCTTTATAAATAGGATTTTGTTAATGAGTGCTGGTTAACCTCACACATACAAAATATTTGTTATTTTTAAAGTATTATCTTTCTCGTGTGTCGTAGAATCAACGTATTAAAATGAAAATGTTCTTTAATTAGTTATTGATAACAAATGGCCACAAGACCTTTATAAAGATTCACTTAATACTATTAAAAACCCTAAATTAGTACATTGGTACCACACTTACCCCAAACTAATTTTTGTGTCACAAAAAAAGTCGAATCGGTACATCCGTGCCACATTTACTCCCAAACTAATTTCTATACTCAAAAAATCTCAAACTGATACACTCGTCCCCATTATCCCAAATTAGTGCACACGTGTCATATTTACCCAAAAAATCCCAGATTTATCACAATTTAGGGTAAATGTGACATGGATTTGTGAGTTTGAGATAAATGTAACACGAATATAACAATTTGGGATTTTTTGTGATACAAAAATTAGTTTTAGGTAAATGTGGCACAAATAACCAATTTGAAGTTTTTGGTGATATTAGTCCTATTATAGAAATGCTGCCAGAACATAGGTCTCAAGTTCCAAAATCGGAAACATGCACTTGAAAGATAAGTCCGAGGCTAGACCCATAGCCTATCAACTCTCGAACCGCTCTCCCCTAGTCGCATTTCGTCTCGCATGGCGATAACTCGACTAACTCCATTTTCAATACTAAGCTCTCCACCATTCTGTTGATTCATTTTAGAATTGTTCTAATCAAGACTCTGTTGCACAGAAGTCTTCATGAAGAGAGACCATGTTCATGAGAAGTAAACCGGACCAATCTGAAGAACATGGAGGAATGGAGGATCCTTGAAAAAGAGATAACTTCTCAGTACATTAAGAGTTGTTGCTATACCATACACAAAATGTACACAATTCACATCCAACTTTGATGTCACCGATCAAATCCGGTGAACTGATCAGAGCCGTCTCCTTCAGTTATCGGAGTACAATCTTCAATCGGCTTTAAGCGGCCCGAATCTTTCCAGCTGCTGGCAAAGGAGATCTCCCCATCATAAACGACTCTTTTGCTTATGATCACTGGACTTTCTTCCTCGGTAATTTCATGTATCGACAAGTTCAACATCGATGTACTAGAGATGCGGTGATATTGCAGTGTGTCTTCAGTGACATTGGCGAGGCTAGAAGGAGGACTTGTGGCAGTTTCTGAAGTAAGTTCATCATCCTGGTTCTGCAGGTACTTGTCCGAAATCGAAGTGTCAGCTGAAGATAGTCTTGAAGAGGTCATGGTTGAAATCGATCTGCTCTTTGAAAGCCTGCGTCTCGCATCCTTGTGCCATTTCTTGAGACCTTCCGCTACGCGGTCGGAAAACACAGCCTTCGTCATCCCAGAGCCCATCTGCTTAGACACAACATCACAAACGATTATGCAACATTTCCACAATTGCTAACACGCATTATTGTCATTTTGCAGAGCATATCTCTACTCTACAAGAACCATTCTCGTTGTTTCTCTAGGCTGGATCGTAGAATGAACCATAAGCAACATGAATGAGACTCTAGGATCTGTGAATTAGTACCTGTGAGACGAGTGCATAAAGGGGTAATGTCACATAACCACACAGAATCTGCACTGCCACACCGATAGAAATCCTTATGGCAATGTCTTGGGTTTCTTGGTTGAAGCAAGATCTAAGGCCAAACTCATACTGTTATTGCAAACAGGATCAGCTAACAGTCAAAACAAATGTTTCAATCAACCTTGCTCGAATAGACTTACCCACGTCCAAGCAAAGAACGCCAGCTGAAAGGAGGTCTGCAACCAAATCAAAAGAGAAAATGTTATGCCTGAAGTTGTCTTATGCTTTTCCAGTTATTGTCCGTTGATGTCAGCCGCTAGACTCACGGAGGCACTCATTTTTAGCCCGGTATAATAAACATCAGAGTTAAATAGCTTTGTTCCTTATTTTTTTCGATCAAGTGATGAGACAGGTACGATAATAGCAATACAAACCTGGATCATGATGAACTGGATGAGATGGAGGAGACAATTGGGTTGTCCGAACCAGAACAAGTCGTCGTGGGCTTCACAAGACAGGTCCCTCGAGTCACAGAATTCGTAGAGCAACTCTGCACGCACATTTGTGTTATTATCACTTGGAGCTTTGTACTGACAGCTAGAACAATCTGCAAAAGAAGAATAAAGTCTAAGCAACAGGACAAGGGTTTTCTTGATCGGATCCGCTCATCACAGAACAAAGTAACATGACAAACCATGGTTCGTACCACGAGAGGGATGAAAGGAAGCCAGTAGTAGTTGTAGAACTCTGCACTCAAATCAGGTTGAAAGTGTTAAGCAATGGATAGTTTTGCTTCTGGCTGGGAGTACAGTTCTATGAATTGAATACCTTTTTACTTAAACATTTAAAAGGAGTTGCAACATATTCAAAAGCTTTGTGCATATTGCGAGGTATTGTCTTACCGTGCGCACTGAAAAATATGAAGAATATGGAGAAGATCCAAATCCAAAATCTGCGAGAATGGTCACTATTACTTCATTGTTTTGATAAAAGGATGACAAAATCTCATTAGTTTCGTCAGTTGAACTGAAGCTGGACAAATACTCTGGGGGGAATATTTCACCTGGTTTCGACCACTTTTTTGAAATCATCATCAAGAGCTCTATTAACGAACTTCTGGAAGTTGAAATCGCTACATCCAGAGGTATTAGCCTAGGAGCAAGTAAAAATGAAGAATACAGTTAGTCATTGCATGAGGAGGTGATGGATGACTTACGACTACCTATTTCACGTTTTCATTATCTCTAGAACTATGAAGTAAAAGGACTTTTGTAATTTGCGGAACTACTTCATCGACAAAATCTTCAAGTCCAGAAATCATCACACATCCATAAGTAGATCTTCGCCCCAGAGTTGCCAATACAAGGTAGAAGAAGACATCCTCTTACCATGATGAATCCATGACGGAGAGTGAAGTAATCAGCTTTTGATATTGACCCTCTGAACTGTCGGACAAAACAAACCTTGAACAATGATAATAAAGGATAATTTCAGTCAGGAATCCGAAACCATACTTGAGGATGACAGCATAAATCAATGGCCAGACTGAGTTTGGCTCTGTTAAGCAACATTATCATAATTTTAATGTTCAATTCCTAGGTCGTACATTGTTCTGTAGCCTACCGTAATAAATAGAGCAAGTTCAATTCATGTATCTATGGGGTGGTGGCAGTCCCTGCAACATGTTCTACAGAATAATCCATTAAACAAGAGTGATGGCTGTCTCAGCAACATTTATAGATATCATGGCATGTGAATGAAATTTCTAATTTCGATTATTGATAGGTTTGAAGCGCACACACTAGCTGTAAACGAGATACTTAATTCTTAGCTCACAATTACGGCGAACTCACCGGCCAAAGTAAAAGAGAATGGCGACTCCAGAATTTCAGATGTCGCTGCCCAAATGACGTTTGACGCGTAAACTGAAATCTCCTTGGATCTGCAAGCAAATATAGTAATGCCGAGAGTATATCAAAATCATTTATGGGAATCACTTGCATCCGAGCTCAGCTCTAGTTTCATTACTCTAAGAGCAACAAATTGCTCAAGTAATCACATTTGATCAGAACATGAATATCTGCATCTTAAAATTGCAACTCTATCTATGGGGTGAGATCATGTAGACAAGGACCGGTAGTGGAGGTCGAAGCTTACCATGAACAATCTGATGCTCGAGGGTTTGAGTCTCTTCTTCCCACGACTTCCATTTTGCCATCTGTGACAAGACCAAACGCATCAATTACTCCTTTAACGTGTGAGGACATAAGTTCGTATATTAATATGCACTGCAATGATCTTCTAATCATTTGGCAGTACGTTTATTACCTTGGCAATTCCCAAGCACATGGTTAAGAGGCAGTAAGAAACATAAAAAACAGCGAACACCGAGATGAAGATGTTGAGTTGGATCACGCCATCCCTCGAAATTAAGGGAACCATACCCTGAAAATTTGTCAACCCAAAGGAAGAACATGCAATCAGTACACAAAGATACAGATGGTTTATCTCCAACGAAATCTAGCGCTGGCTATGTTTCTGGCATCGATATTCAGGTTGCTCTTGTATCAAAGTTATATGAAATTTACAATTTATTCAGCCAAAAATTATTAGCATTACGAGGTGCTTGAATTTTGTAGTAAATTATTCATAATAGACTAGATGAGATCTTTTAAATATGACTACGTGTTCCAGGAAACTGCAATGTGACTTATAAACAAATCTCAATAAACTATGTGCAGTACTCTCCAAGGATGATGACTACACAAATGGATGACTAGTTTCTAGAGATTAATCCTCTTTTCTCCACCTTTGCTGTGCAAAACGATCCGTCATCTGCAGTTTCAAGTGAGGTGTTTGAGTCTGGCTTCAAGCCTGATGCCGCTGAAACTTGAGTTGCAGACGAAACAGCTGGTTCCACAAACTCCACTGCGTCTTTGCATGGAAGAAACGAGCTCGCCACTGCCTCCGTCACGCATATTCTCGATATAGGTATCTCCGAAATTGACAGAAGCAGTGATATGAACCCCATTTTCATCATTTCTACACATCCATATCAAACCTTATAATTAGTCGTTTGCCCTACGAACTAGGCATAGATGCTAACAATTTGTAAGAATCGATGCTTGTAGATGAACTACTGATGTCACTCTGAATATACACAGCGAACAAATGCAAATTATCTCCATTAAATGTCATTAAAACCGAAGTACACAGTCCTACAACAACGTTGGAGCAAGTAAAACTCTCTTACGTGGAAAAAGGCTACTCTTAGATTCATTTTCGACTGACCTGTTTTAATTTTTGCCAGAGCTTTATTGAGAGACTTTCTCCTCCTCTTCTTGAGAAACTAAGACAATCAACACAACCACCACCTCAAGAACATCAGGACATGAAGTTATCAACTTATAAGAGACAACGCACAATATGTAAATTTACATAGGCTGTCGGCACAAACACCAACGTTTACTGATCTCCAACAGTAGTTGAACAAAGTACCTCAGTTAAGTGGTGAAGACCAGAATCCATAACGAAGGAGACGACGAAGAAGAAGAGGCAAATTATTGAGACTGCCCATGTTGGTGTCTCTTCAAGCCCGCCATTCCCCCCCTCCATCTCTCTCTCTCTCTCTCTCTCTCTCTCTCTCTGGTGTTTTGATTCTGCTGGGATCCTGCTTTAACTTGGTTGAGAATGGAAGCCAGAAAGCCCAATATATATGCCCGTGCGAGCATAAAATATGCATGGTGAAGGTTATTAGCAAATCACTTAATTTTTCAGTTATGACTAGTCAGACCAGGCCACCATCACCATGTTTTGCTTCGCGGTTTGCACGGTCAGACAAGAAATCAGAGCACGGACCAAGGGTTCAAATCCCGACATTACGTGCCAATGTTGTTGTTGCAGCGTACTTCTTAACACTCCCTCTCGCATGTAAACTGAATTTAAGCTTTTGATCCGTGCTCTAGCACCATGTGAGACAAATCATTTTTCTCTCAAAAATCTAAGCTATCAGGAAAAAGAGCAAGAATTGTTATGATTATTGAGCCAAACATCAACTAATATCGCTTGATCAGGGGTGCGATGTCACATAAGTCATCACACAATACAAACATTGCACGAAAGACTTAGCCTCGATATGCTTCAACTTTACTAGAAAATGACATCTATAATGTGTGACATCTCGATATGGCGACACGAATCCTTCATTCATGTTTTTATGTGATTCGTGAACAGAACTCGAAAATGGACATCGTTTGATTAGGCACTTGATGCCTCGCGTTAGTGGTCACATGGTGCGACAGTCACACAAAAGAGTTAACCTCCGGTCGACGTACAGAATTCTACTTAAACACACGCTAATCACCTCCCTAATCACCAGGAGGTTTTGGGCGAAAAATGATCATCGTTTTTTTTTTTATCACCAATCTATTTGATCACGTTGATCTTAGCTATCTGGCGGATAAACATGCATTCCAAACTCAAAAGAAGCAAGACCCATCCTCTCTTTAAAAAAGGAAATCAGAAAATACGAACGAATACGTGCATGACAAAAGCTGTCTGGCGTATAGAATTCGAAGGAGTGAAAAGAGTACCACGTAGAATTATCAATTAAAAGGGTATGAAGAAATTTCAAACTCCGATTTTTAGTTTTGATATCAATCGGGTGTCCGAAACTCTTTGATTACCCAGCTGCCCTTTTCGGGTGTCGTAGCCTCCTCGTCTCGCACGTACCGGGTAATTATCAGAGAGATACGGGTCTGTGCTCCTTAAAGTGACTCCAAGAGAATGCGCAAGCGTGATAATTCGAACTCAAGTATCGAGAAAGAAGACAAATGCGCTGATTAATTCAACCCAGATATCTATTTCACGTGAAAAAGAATATATACAATGTTAATTGAGGTTATTGAACGAAAATGAAAATATAGTTTATGTCATCAGAATACTATTTACTCTTTTTGTAATGATGTTAACCAACATTTTTTTTTTATGATATTTGGCATAAGAATCTTTTGAATGACCTAAATGTTCATCGGCCGCCCCATATCGATTTTTGATGACGTGACCAACTTAAATATTCACCTAGTACCTAATTTATCATATCGATATTTTTATGACATTGACCAACTTAAATTATGTTCACCAAGTGTATAATTCTATATTTGGGCGGCACATGCAAAATCAAACTCGAAAATGACTTAATAAAAGTTTAAGGATCACATCGATGAACGTCGAACTGATGGCTAATCAGATTTCGAAAACCCGAAAAAGTCGGCGCTCTTATCGCATAGCTTATGGTGGCCTCCTCTTGGTACTTTGTCTGGATATACGTACGGTGGCTGTCCCATGAAAGGTGGGACTTCCGTACGGAACAAGTCTAAATTATGTCGTGATGGATTCTATTCAACAAACCATAAATTTCAATTTCTAGCAAAACCCTTAAATTTCAATTAGTACGAAGTCAACGGTTAAGCCAGAAAAGAAGGGTTGGTTGCGTCGAAGAAGAGAGAGACATCGTCGCAGGTGGTGCGTCTCTGTCTTCCACATGGAAATTCATAGCGTTATATTAAAAAAAAAATCTAATTAGTACAAAGTCAATGCCGTACACCTCCAGTTATATTCCGTACTAAGCTCACGTTTTTTTTTTTTTTCCGGGCAGACATTATCGTGGGCATGAGCAGGAACTGACCAAGGCCGCCCGGGATCGAACACCGATTGAAGCAAAGCTTGGATAAGGCAATTTAGTTATAAATCCCAACTTAATTTGATTCGGCGAATTTCGATATGATTTTCTTTTTCTTTTTTTTTTTCTGGGGGTTATGGGTAGATTCGAACAACAGATTATGCCTTATTTAAGGGCCCGAGGTGATTCAAACTCATCTATCGATCACCTCCAGTCTCGAGCAATGCCTAGGACTTGCTTTGTGTGAAGGACGAGAGGGGGAGCAAAATGAACGTAGAAATAAACTGCGGGGATTAAATTTTGGAATTTCTGTGAAGTTTCAAATTCGGCTTCATTTTTTATTTTTGACACCATTACATTTTGGACCAAAACCTATGGATCATTCGCATCATTTTTCTCTATCAAGAGCGAAGAGCACTAAAAATAGAGACGAAACTTCGAGCTCTATATACGCAACTGACTATTCAGTAACCATTTACAGGCGACATCCATCTCTCGCAATCTCATTGACCTAGATCTAGCGGTCGAAATCGACGTGGCCCCAATTCGATCCAGCACGTTTACATGGAATCGGCACTTCGTACCGAGACGGCCGTTTTGCCAAAATAAGAACGCATGGTGCTACATAGCAAGACTCGAACGCAGGGTGCTCGATTTTTTTTTTCTTTTCCTCTTGTTTTTTTAATGCTCACGGCCACGGAAGTCACGGCTTGGAGATAGTTGGGCTCATGGGCTTAAAGGATTTGATCAATGATCTTCCAAGAAAATGGAATGAAACGAAGGGAAAAAGCAGAACAAAACTTGACCCCCCATTGACCGTACAAATCCAGGCCCACAACCCCATCCCTCTCTCTCTCTCTCTCTCTCTCTCTCTGACCGTAAACTCTTCCTCCATTGCTTGCTTCTGGCGAGGAGTCAATAAACCCTACAAACCTCTCTTTCCTCTTCCTTCCCTTTGTGTTCCGCGCAAGGTACACACGAGTTCCTGTTGCTTCTCCTTCTCCCGTTTTCTGTGAATGTCCCTCGATTTGCAATCCCATTTGGTGTTTGCCGAAAGTGAGTTCCTTTAAGGTAGAGAACCAATGAATCGGTACGGTTTTAAGTTTTGCCGAAGTGGGGGTTGTGCTTAAGCCCTCCACAAAGCAAACTTGAGTATCTTGCTCAGATCCTCGTGCGTCGGGGGGGCAATGCCATTTTGGGGGTCTCTGGAATCGGGTCATGAGTTCGTTGTTTTTCTAGTGGGAATCTTGTTTCTACGTTGTTCTCGAATTTTGGGTCTTTCGGGTACTCGGTGGCCACAGAGACGGCATGTGTTGTTGGTGGAATTCTTTCTTGACCCTTTTTGTTTTCACCCGGTTGACCAATCGATGTGTTTGGGTTTTCTTTTATATATCCTATGATGGGTGGCTAAAACGTGCTTGAAGCTAGATGTAGTCAAGATGAGTCACGTTATGTTCTGTGTCGTGCCGGGGGTCGTCGGTTTGGTGAGCTTGCACTTCTTAGGCTCGTGATGCCAATTGCCGAATCAGTTGAAAAGGGGGGTGCTGGCAATACGTCGGTTATGGTTGCTGGTGTGTGGAGCGTTGGGCAGACTTGAAGAGGATACTTTTAGGGGGTGGTCTTGGTGCTCTGGATTAGCTTAGGGTCAGGATTTCAACTTGTTGCCTGGGAGAGATCTTTGGCTTCACTAGAATAAATGCATTGGGGGTGTTGCTTTTGTCGTATGGTTTCCTTTCATGCCGGGTTTTATGCTCGAAAGACGTTATGTAATCATCATGTCTGCTACTGATTACGAATGGGATTTATTGGCCCCCCAAGTGGACTTTTCTTTAAATTGAACTGTCTAATCTATTTGTTCCTTTGGCCGGTGGGTTTTCAGATGATTGAATTCATTCTTTTTGGCTTGTGAGAAAAGTAAATGGATATGAGGTTTGTCATCTTTGCAGGAACTTATGTTTGGCTTTTCGTGGTTATAGGAAGATGAATTTCAAGAACGTGAAAGTTCCGAAAGTGCCGGGAGGAGGGGCAGCATCTGCATTGCTCAAGTTGGGAGTGATTGGTGGTCTTGGCTTGTATGGAGCCGCTAACAGTCTTTACAATGTCGAGGGAGGGCATAGAGCCATTATGTTCAACCGCCTAGTTGGTGTTAAAGACGAGGTTCTTTATGACAGCTTAATATCATGAGAGTGGTTTTGTGCTAAAATATCTCTCTCTCTCTCTCTCTCTCCCCCCCACGCGCGCACACACACACACACACATCCATGGGAACCTGTAGATAGAAAACTGGTCATGCCTTTTGAATATGCTTATGTGCTTACTCTGTCCCCACTTTGGAATTGCATTCTAAAATATTTCTTCATATAGTTTGTTTTCTCAACTTTTTTGTATTGCATTATGGGTGCTTGTCCTATTCGGGCGTTTGTTGCACATGCATATGGTTCTTACTTGGAAGGTTCTCTGGTCAATAATTTTTTTATGTTAAATTTTTAGGAATTCATGGTACTCATTTGATGAAGTGCAATAGCTTACTGTTTGATCATGAAATAGATGATAGTGGATTATATAGTCTTCAAAGAGAGAGATGTATCATTCAAAACTGACTTTCTTTCCCTAGTCCTCCTTCCGCTGTTCTTGAAAAAAACAAAAAATTGTTCCAAGAAGGTAAGCATGCATGGTATCAGGAGATGGTGCTAGAGCTTGCTGAACTACAAATTTTTTACTAATTTAGGGGAGAGATGTATGTATGATAGACCTCTGGTTTTCTAAATGGAGATTTGTTTCGATGATTCATCATGCTGAACTCACTGGTAATTTTGCAGGTTTATCCTGAAGGGACACATCTAATGATACCATGGTTCGAGAGACCAGTTATCTACGATGTACGAGCACGACCTCATTTGATCGAGAGTACTTCGGGAAGTCGGGACCTTCAGATGGTAATTGTTGTTTAATACACTGTCACTATTAGGCAGAGTAGGTATTTTCTTAAGTTTTTCCTTTCAACTTTTTTATGAAAGGCTGTCTTGTAATCTGTGAAAAGATAACCTTTCTGATTATGACGATATCGGATCTTTGTGAAAAATCTGGCAGGTCATTCCTAATCAATGTACATGCGTCAGGCAAGTACGGGCTAAGTAAATCAATTGATAGGTTTGGTGATATTCTCCATGGGCATCTGTTAGTTGGTGATAGCAGTAGAAGCATTAACTTCGATTGTGTTTGAATCAGAGCGATCATATCAAAGAATTGTTTTAGTTATCGATTGATTAAACTACCGGCCACAATTATCAATGCATCTAACGTAATTGTGGAGATACATTGGGTTTCATGTAAGTTTCACCTCTTTTGATCCTATTCTTCTTTTCGTGTCATTGGTAATAGTAGATGGTCAAATCTGGTGTCTCTGTCATTCTACCGTCTTATACATCAGTTGTTCTTTTGGGAAATAATTCTCATCTTACCCAACCAAATAAGGAAAGGCAATCAATTGTTGTCCTGAAGGCATGTAGAACCTTTTCTCACACATTGGAGCTGAGGTAGAAACATTAATCGTGATTAATGCCAGAAATGAATATCACAGTTTGCTTTTGCTTGATTTGTGCTGATGGAGTTCACAGAAAATAGCTGACACACACAAAATAACATCAAATACGAGATTGTGGGAGCTTCTGCTGAAATGTTCCATTGTATGTGACTGTCAGATTTTATTACCTTGTTCCATGTGTTTTCGGCAACCAGTAGCCATTGCTGAAAAATCTTTTGCATTAGATTTGTTGTTCACCAAAATCCCTTAACCTTTGTTAGAATCATTTTGAATGTTAAAGTTTATGCCCATTGAAATCAAGCATCTCTTTCAATGTAGGTCAAAATTGGACTTCGAGTCCTGACTCGTCCTTTACCTGATCAATTACCTACAATTTACCGTACGCTGGGAGAAAACTATAATGAGAGGGTTTTGCCTTCGATTATTCATGAAACTTTGAAAGCTGTGGTTGCGCAGTACAATGCAAGCCAACTTATTACCCAAAGAGAGGTAACAAGCTGTTTTGGTTCTCTTCGGTTCAGCGAGTTGATTTTCAATGTCACATCTACATGCCAGGAAAAGTGAGAAGCTGATGGTGATTTGAATCATCAGTTGATGTTGCTTGTCTTACTGAAATTGTGATGTATGCACCTTTGCTACTTTATATTCTCTTCCCCTTTTTCGGGCGATCCTTGATTTGGTATGTACCTAGCTAGTATAGTAGCAGTGCCTGGTGTTTAAAATCGAGTTCTGGATTTTAGCATCTTAGATCATAAAATCTGATACCTCGGAGCAGATTCTATTTCCTTATGAGACTTATGTATTTAAGTTTTGAAATTTGTACATTTTGTGATTTTTGGTTATCTCTGTATAGACTTTATTTCGATTCTAGTTTTTGAGATGGTACGGGCCTTTAAAGTAAGGCCTCTGTGGAGTTCCATTAACCCAAAATCACTGATTAGTGTTTACAGGATCTGTTACTTCTCCCTTTGTTAAGGCCCATTCTTATCAATATGTTACTGTTAACATATTTGCTAAGAATTTGGTTTTCCTGTTTTAGGCTGTCAGTAGAGAAATACGGAAGATATTGACAGACAGAGCAGCTAATTTCAATATTGCGTTGGATGATGTGTCCATTACTAGTCTAACTTTCGGAAAGGAGTTCACTGCCGCCATTGAAGCCAAACAAGTGGCTGCACAAGAAGCTGAAAGGGCTAAATTTGTCGTGGAGAAAGCTGAACAAGACAAGAAGAGTGCAGTCATTAGAGCACAGGTATGAATCAAGATTGAGCTCATAGTACTTTGGCCTGTTGAAATAGCCTAGGCTACTTGCGTAGAAAGGTTTCATTTAGGGATGCAACAATAGTTCATTGCAACTTCAGTTACCTCTATTCTTGGATGGTTCTTTTGTTTTGGCTCTTGATTGATCTATTTCCTCTCGGTGTGTCACAGGGTGAGGCCGCAAGTGCTCAGTTGATAGGTCAAGCTATAGCCAACAATCCTGCATTTATCACTTTGAGGAGAATTGAAGCTTCAAGAGAAATTGCCCATACAATTTCAAATTCGAGCAACAAGGTTTTCCTGAATTCAGACGATCTTCTGCTTAATCTCCAGGATATGGAATTGGGAAGCAAAACCAGTACGAAGAAATGAGAGGAAATGGTTAATTTTCAATATGGTTAGTTTTCATCCTCCAGTCGTCCAATTACGAGTGCTTCCAACTGTGCACGCCTAGTAAATTTTCTTGACCTGCCGAACTCTGGAAAAGTAATGCTCCCGGGAGGATGTACATTAACTGTTCAGACAAGCTTCAAACTGGACACCCTTTTTCTCTTTATTTGTCCTCTTGTTTCCATAATGTCAATAAGGTTGGTAGTTCTTTCTCACCAGGACCAACGACAGTGGTGCTTTGATTAATCTGATTGTACTCATTGCTTCAACGAGGTGATTGTACATGGCAATTCATTTATTGAAGAGGTCAAAGAATTAACAAATCACTTTCTTTGTCAAAGTGAGGCAACAGATTCGGCGCATTGAGCGCTTCTCTCAGTGATTGATTTCGGTTCAGCTTGAATACATTGAAACAGTAAGGGGGTGACTCATAAGAGTTGTAGATTGGCAAGTCATAACTCAACTGGACCAAATGGAGCGACTTTGATCGTTGCTCCATTTGGTGAGCACGTCGGCTGTGAAATATCCCATGCTAGTCATGCTCACATAACCTGTGATGTTTGAGTGTTTGGCTTGTAATCCTGGTTTACGATATCGTCGGGGACACACAAGCACGTGATTTCCCTATAAACGGGAGAGATTTGTACTGCCGTGCAGTCAGTCCGGATAGAGACCCAGATTATCTTCGATACTACTAGCAGTAGCATCCTTCAATGTTGGTTCGGATTCTGCACAAGTCAGCGCTACCCAATTACAAAAATGAAGTCTATTGTTGAAGAGTTATTATTGAGCAGTTTTGCTTGTCGTTTCCATAATCTATGGTGGATGTGAATCTCCACTAAAGAACTTTAAAGAAGGAGACAAGTTGGGGTAAGGAAAGGATGTCTTGCTAACGTCTGATAGGGGTACTTTGTCCTAGATTTATGAACCAGATGTATTCATAACAGGTAGATATCGCGGGAATCAGATAGGACCCACATGAGCTCGGCGATATTCGGCGGTGCGATCGACTCGGTCAATGCGAAACCGGGTCGAGGCAAGATTGCCGGGGATCATGAACGACCCACACAAGAATCCCACCCGAGCTCTCCGGGGGCGGGGGCGATCCCAACTCAGTCTCACTCCGAACGGGTGTCGAGGCGAGATTTCTCCGGGAAAGAATGGTCATCGACACAAGGTCACGAGAAAGTTAAGAAAAAAGCATACGATCCAATCCGTGGGAGGCGATTCAACGTTTGACCAAAAAGGAAAGAGATGGGGTCGCTGTCTCGAAACCGGCACAGGTGGGAGGGGTTGAACGGCGGGGAAAGAAGCTTTTTGAAATTTGTGGTGTCCTTTGGAGGCCCGTTTACCCACGGAATGATGCCGCTGGCAATCATGGTCATGGTCATGAGTAGTCGGTACGATGTTCCTCTTCCATTACTACAGTCCCCCGCCCAATTCTCTTAATATTTAGGACCTCTTTTGGTCGGTGCAAGCTGGTTCCCACCTTCCACACGCACATTTCGTTTGCTTCTTCTCTCGACATTATCCTGTCACCCACAATCAATCTCTCTCTCTACATGGTCAATGGTTCCTGGCTACCGTGGCTATACTTGACAAAATACCTAAGCGTCCAAGTTTGTCACGTCGGATGCTAAAAACTTCAAATTCACGTGCGTTATACATGATAAAAAAAAAAAACCATCCGTTTCATGTCACCTCGGCCCTTGAATCAAATCTAAATGTATGTATACACGTGGTCCCTAAACTTTGACCAAATATGCAATGTGATCCCTGAATTTTTAATTTGTTTAATATGATCCCTGAACTTTATTTCAATATACAATGTGACCCCTGAATTTTTAATTTGTTCAATATGGTCTCTAAACTTTTGGTAAATGTTCAATTTGATCCTTAGACTATATAAATATATCAAATGTCATCCTTCTATCGATTCATGTTTAGGGACAATATTGAACATTTTCACATAGTTCATAAACTAGATTGAACATTTACCATAAAGAAAATAAAGAATTGAGTCGATGAAGCGTTACCTTTCATCGATATATTGTACAATATAAATAGAGATATCATCACCTTTAATTATGGTAGAAGTTAAAGATAAAAGATACAATTTGATTTACAAGGAAATTGAATAAAAGACAAATCAGAAAAGATTTCCAAATGATCAACTCAAGGATACTTTGCTTGATATGTTATCTTCGTGATGATTTGTAAAAGATTCTGCACTGCAACCATTTAATTTTTTGCTTTTTGATTTGTTGCTTCAATACTCCCCTTCAAACCGATCAATGGGGAGGACCAGAGGCCGAGTTTGATTTGTAAACCAACAAACCTATCTCAAGTCAATGGTTTGATAAATGTATTAGCAATTTGTGAGGAAGATGGAACGTAACGAGTTACGATAAAACCAAGAGCAACCTTTTCCTGAACAAAATGATAATCGATTTCAATGTGCTTTGTTCGAGCATGAAAAACTGGATTAGTTGTGAGATGTAATGCTGGCATGTTGTCCGAGAAAAGTTATGAAGGTTGATGTTGGTATGTATGAAATCCAAATGAGTTCAACAACTGCGGAAACAAGAGCCTGATATTCAGTTTCAGCTATGCAGCAGGCCACGGTAAGTTATTTCTTGGCACACCATGGAAATACAATTTGAGCCGAGAAAAGTACAATAACCGGTGGCAGAACGTCGGATGAGTTTGCACTTTGCCTAGTCTGCATCAGTAAAGCCAAACAATGGAGAGAACTACGTGACAAAATGCAAAGCCCAAGGTATAAGGTACCACGAACATATCACAAAATACGTTTTACTATCTGATAGTGAGCAACAGTTGGGGCATGCATATGTTGGCAAACTAAGTTGACTACAAGCGAGAGATCTGGACGAGTGAAGGTAAGGTACTGAAGAGCGCCTACAATACTTCGAAAATGGGATGGATTAGCATAGGGCTTATCACCATGTTTGAGTGGTGGTTGCTTGGTAGCTATTGGAGTAGTAATCGGCTTACATTGCACCGTTGATGCTCGATTCAAAAGATGCATATTTTTGTTGCGAGAGAAAGAGTCCATTAGTGGAGCGATTGACTTCGATACCCAAGGAATAATGAAGACCAACAAGGTATTTCATGGAAAACACTTGACCAAGCGCCTGCACAAGACGATTTAGTAATTTCGGGGAATCACTAGTGAGGATTATATCATCCACGTAGAGCAATAGAATAATAATATGACCATGATGACGATAAACAAATAGTGATGGATTAGCTGTGCTACAAAACTTGTTGAACCATTCTTTGGAAAGATTTGAACTCATGACTTCCAGTTCTGATATCTTGTGAGATTTTATGGAACTATTACCAACCATTCTAAATGCTTAAGCTGTTAAATGAAGGTGTGGTTTAATATTTAATTACTCTAACATACCAAAAGTTAGGGGATCATATTGAACAAATGAAAAATTCGAGAACAACTTTGTACATTGGGTTAAAATTCAAGGACCACAATGCATAAATTAAAAGTTCACGAACGAAACTGCACATTATGCCAAAACTCAGAGACCATTCATCTCTCTCTCTCTCTCTCTCTCTCTCTCTCTCTCTCTCTCTCTCTCTCTCTCTCTCTCTCTCTCTCTCTCTCTCTCTCTCTCTCCACATGTTGTACTTTCAAATCTTGCGTGGGCACAATAAATCTGATAAAAAGTCCAACTCAAAAAACTTAAATCAATAGATGGAGGGATACTGTGTGTATATAAAGAGCATACCAATATACATGGAATTCAACGAATTGGGAGGCTGCACATGCAAAATAAACCAAGGCAAAACCTGCCTCCGTTAGAATGACCGGTAAATAAAGAAATGCCGCATGTATATAAAGAGCATATGGGCGCCGTATGAAGCAATGCAAGGCACTTTGCAAAACCCACCTCTGTTAGAGTGTCCAATAAATAAAGAGATGTCGCATACATATAAAAAGTATATGGATCCCGTATGAAGCAATGCAAGGTACTTTAACGCGATAAAGTACCAAAACATTGGTGGGTTCTTCCTATTGGAACGGGAAAATGGGCTCGGAATCACCACAAGAAAGACAAGAGAAAGCAAAGCGGAAAAGCAAGTGAAAAGCAAAAGAAGTACCTTCCCCCTATAATAATCGTCCGATTTGATGGACCATGAACGTGCATTGTCGAGGTGCAAGAAAAATACCGTTGGCTCTAAGACTAAGTCCACGGTTTTTCCATTCCATGACAAAATGAAGTGGGTTTCAGTTCGGTGCACGCATCGGTCCAAGCGAGGCTTGTGTCTTTCCACGGTTGAGGAGGAATTGGACGTCCCCTTCTTCTATTCCATGGCAAAAGCATCGTCAAACGTCGATGCGTTGGATCCATTGTCCACCTCTCCTTTTATTGGAAAACGTCGTTGTTCGTTGCTTTCTCATGCAAAGAAAGAACAAAGCAAAGTAAGAGATGATCATCTGTACTCTCTCGACATTTGATAATGTATAACACATGTTCAATATAATCTATGCATACACACACGCACGCACATTGTGATATGTAACATTTCAGTTGAAAATTGTGTCGTGCTGGCGATGCCTAATTCAGCTATCGCTTGTAAAGCTTTCATATTTAATTGGAGAGGCAAATTGAGTTTAAAAATATTTGAACTCGAGACTTCCTGCTTTGATATCATGTAAGCTTTGGCGAGACATAGCCAACTTTGTTAAAAATTTAAATTGTTAGATGAAGACGTAATTTAATATTTTAATAGGCTTTTTTTAAGGAAAAAAAAGGATATAGAATTCTTTATTTCAGCTTTTTTTTATTTAATTTAATTTCAATATGGTAAAAGCATTTTGAATTATTAGTGGGACCACGCCATAAAGGTAGTACGACCTTTCTAATTAGACTGGAAAAGAGAAAAAAAGTTGTTTTGTTTGGGGACGAAGAAAACAGGCGAGACATATTCATGATTTCGAGATGTTGGCGGAGCTACGTCATGATGTTGTCAGCACGCGGCGGATGGTCAAAAGGCAAGAATTTATCATCTGAAAAAATTTAATCAAATATATCAGAAAAGATGTAAGATGTGGTGATCCATATTAAAATCTCACCAACCGACACGAATTTCCACACATTTGCCATGGATTATAAAAAAACAGATATTAATATCACGAAAAACTCCAAATTAATACACTTGCGAAAAATTTACCATTCGTCAGTTTCCGTTAAATTTTATCGTTAAATTACAGAGTTATATGACACGTAGCTGTTGACGGGTATACCAGTCTTGGGTTTTACCTTCCGTTTGTTGCACGAGT